AAGGGCAAGGCTGCGTCAAGGCAGACACCAGGAGCAAACGGAGGCCATGGAGTCACGTCCGTTGTCGTGGTGCTTGAGTCTGGACCCCGGCACCTTCTCTTTAATCCCTGAAGCACCCCCTCAGCCTTGTGCGGGCAGCCTGCGGGGTTTTTGCCCGCGCTCTCATTCCAATCGGGGCAGGGCTTCCAAAGCAGTTGTCCTGCGCCAAGAAGCCAACGCATCCACTTCCACGGAGTGGAAGAAGCCCACGGACTTCCCCGCGCCGCTGAGGGCAGAGCTAAGAGGACAGGCGGGCACCTCTGGAGATCATCCAGCCCAACCTCTCGCCCACGGAGGGGCCAGCCACAGCAGGCTGCTCAGGGCTGCGGCCCCTCGGGTTCTGAATATTCCCCGAGGATGGAGATGCCACCACCTCCCTGGGCAACCTGTGCCAGTGTGTGACCCCGCTCACAGGGAAAAAAAAGGTTTCTCTCCATATTTAAAAGAAATTTCCTGTACTTTGGTTACTGTTCCTTGCCTCAAGTTCTGTCCCTGGGCACCACTGAGAAATGCCTGGCTCAGACTTCTTCACTTCCCCCACCAGGTATCTACTCACATGGTGTCCTGGGTTGAGTGAGTGGTGGAGTTTTTTGGTGGCAGGGGAGGGGGCTATCGGGGCGGCCCCCTGTGAGAAGCTTCTCGAAGCTCCCCCAGCTCCACATCAGCTCCACTTCTGTTTGGGAAATTGAGCCCATCAGCTGCGCCTCTGCGATAACGTATTTAAGAAGGGATGTGGTGACGGGCAGTGGGACTTGTGAGGAGGAGTTGCTGCAGCTGCGTGAACACCAAGGTCAGTGGAGGAACGGAGGAAGAAAGGAGGGGGGAGGTGTGCTGGAGCAGAGACCCCCCTGTATCCTGTGGTGAGACGGCAGGGCGGCCCCCCCTGCCACCCATGGAGATCTACGGTGGAGCAGACATTGATTTGTGGCCTGTTGTTCCTGCTCAGCTGATCAAGGTTCTGTGCCCGAAGAAGGCCGGGGTCTCATGGGAAAAGGCAGCCCCGCTGCTGTAATTCAGTGCTGGGAGGATTGCAGCATGCGGGGGAGTCCCACACCAGAGCAGCTCGGGAAGGGCTGCAGCCGTGGGAGGGAATCCAGTCGGAGGAAGTTAGTGACCCATGACGGAGCAGTGTGGGGAACGCTGCGGCCCGTGGGAGGAATTCAAGTCAGAGAAAGTTTGTGGAGGACTGTCTCCTGTGAGAGGGGGACCACGATGGGGCAGGGGGTAACAAGTTTTGGACACTCCCCTCACTGAAGATGAAGGAAGTGGCAGCGCTGACTGCACCCCCCATTCCCTGCCCCTGCGCCCCTGGGGGAGGAGGTAGAGATATCGGGAGCAGAGCTGAGCCCGGGAAGAAGGGAGGGGTGGGGGGAAGGTGTTCTCAAGATGTGGCAATGCTTCTCACTGTCCTGCTCTGTTATGTGTTGTTAGTGTCTGTAATAAATGTATGTTCTTCTTTTCTTCCCCTAACGAGTCTGCCTTTTGCTCGTGATCATAAAGGGGGATTTTCCCCCATCCCAGTCCTATCTCGAACCCCAAGCCTGGCTCTCTGTCCCTTCTCATTGCCGGAGGGGAAGGGAGAGAGAGGTGCTGCATTGTGGTTGGCTGTCAATCAGGCCTAAACCACAACACATGGATAAGATCCCCCAGAGCCTTCTCCAGGCTCTCTCAGCCTTTCCCCATATCAAAGATGTTCCAAGTCCCTTCATCATCTTTGTGGCCCTGCGCTGGATTTGCTCCAGTATGTCCATGTCTCCCCTGTGCTGGGGACCCCAGCACTCCAGGTGCATCTCACCAGTGCTGAACCGAAGGAACCACCTCCCTCAACCTACAGGTGACTGATGACAACCCTTTGAGCCTGGCACTTCAGCTAGTGTTAAATCCACCTCACCATCCACTTATCTATCCCACACTTCACCATTAAGGATTTACAGAAGACTGTGGAAGGTCTTGCTCAAGCTACAATAAGCAACATCCACCACCTTCCCCTCAGCCACCAAGCAAGTAATCTCATTGTAGACCATCCAGCTGATCAAACGTTTCTCCTTCATAAATCCACGCTGACTAAACCCAAACACCTGTCCTCACTAAATCTGTAAATGGTTTCCAGGTTCATCTGCTTTACCACCTTCCCTGGGATCAAGGTGAAAGCTGACAAGCCTGTAGGCCCCCAGATCCTCCTGAAGTGGTATTTGCTTTCCTTCCAGTCCTCAGGAGCTTTCTCCAATCGTCTTGCACTTTTAAAAGATACTCAAGAGTGGTCCCACAGTGACATCAGCCCACAGTATTCCAGATTGTCACTTCTAGCTATCTCGGGGAACGCAACATTCCAGCCAGCTTCTGCCTTCGACAGAACAACCTGCTCAAAGGGTTGGTATTTGCTCCTCAACGCTTTTAAACATCCAGGATCTGCTAGGACTGCATGACTTATCCCTGAGTAACGACCGCACCGCATGACTTGGCTCAGTGGTTGCAGAAACAAGGGGAAGCAGAGGGCCACCGGGCTGAGTGAGATGCTGACGCAGAGGATCAGGGCGCTGACAGCAGGGACAGCGTCTCCCTGCAGCGCCGGGCTGATGGAACCACCCCACCTCCCCGCTCTCAATGCCACGCTTGCAACATCAACACATACAATCAGCTGCAAAAGCCCTCCCTGGCCAAGTAGCCATACCAATTAGAAGCACTTGTTTCCCTTACCCTCATCATCTCAGCAGCAGCTGGGCTGTAGCAGAAGTGACTTTGTTCACGGCAAAGCCTAGATTGCCGAAACCCCACCACCACAACAGAGTAAAGTCTGATTTTTTTTTTTTTTTTCCATCTCTTCTGTTCTAGCTCAGTAGGTGAGTTGGATTTAAAACAAACAAAAAAACACCAAAGCCCAAAGGTACTGAATTTAAACTATACACCCACAATTACATTTCCAGTAGCTAAGTTATAAAAGAAGAAAGATAAAAATAAAATTTCAGAAGTGTGAAGGTTGTCACTGGAATATTTTTATCTGAAGTGAGTCACAAAGCCTGAGAAATCGGATTTTTTTCCTTAATAACACTGAAAAAAACTTTTAAAACCCCCCAAAAAATCGACGCAAAACTACTACCCCATACCAAAACAATGAGAAAATTAAAAACTACACAAAGCTTATCGAGACACTGGTTCCTGCAGCATGTCAGGAGTGATAGTTTCTTCTTACACAGGCACAGAGAAGCATCTTATTGTAACAGAATAAACCAAACCCACCCCTCCTAACCCAGACAGGACAGTTGCAGAGAGCGGAGAAGCCTATAGGCATTTGAGAGTACCAGAAAATGTCATTATGGCAGCTTTACCATCTAAAGGCTGAATCCAAAGTACAAAGAAAGCACGTTGCTGAATGGCAGGAAGGGGTATGTGATGGCCTGGAACAGGAAAAGAAAACTGGGGGAGAAGAAGGGACAAAGACCTGCCATGCATTGACCAAGACTGCAATTCAGGGTTTAACGTCACTGCAGCACGTGTCTGCTGCAGGAGTTGGCAGAAACGGTTAACTACAAGAACAGCAGCAATGCTGCACGTATGCAACAAGTCCTGGGTTAAAACTCCTGCCTCGAGCCATGTACAGATCTTCCCCAAAAGAAACCTACCTCTTCCTAGCTACACAAAATACTTTTAAAAGATTTTCTTTTGACAAAGTTTTTGGTTTTGTGTGAAAGTTTAATATTCTTAAGTCCATAATGACAACAGTATAAAGAATTCAGATTAAAGGTTTGGGTTTGATTTTTTTTTTTTTTTTTTTTAAAGCACAAGTCCAGAGTGTACAGTCAAAGAAAGCTCTGCCATCAACTGGACAGAAGCATGATGAGGGTTGTTTAAAGTGCAATTTAGTAGCAATCCTAAGACATTCATTTCTTTTCCTGCAGCTGTTACCCATGCTTTTAACAGCATTGGTACCACTCCACTCTGAAATCGGGTTCTGCCCAAATGCCAGATCTCTGTGGCTTAGTCCTTTGCTGGTATTTTCATTGCAGTAAAACTGTAAGAGCCCTACGCAACTCAGTGAGATTTGAGATGGCTCGTGGGATCATCATGGGAAGAATGAATCATCTGCCTTGGAAATATAAATGTTTATGATCACTGCTTCTATTCTGCACATATATTCTTGAGACATGCAACTTTTACAAGGGTGTTGATATTTATATAATTCCATAAATTTAGACAGTGTATTACAAACACAATATGCAGTTGTAGCTATAAATAGTGGAGCAGTGGGACAGAATTTTCAACTATTTCTTGTTTTTCTATGCACCACAAATTAGCTGTATGGCACAAGTTAAGGAACTAGATGAAAGAAAATACAGTTATTAGGCAACAAAATAACCCCATGTGAGTTCCCGTATTTTAGATGGTGGAATGGAAGGCTAGGCTGCTACCAAAGAACAAAAAAAATCTGTCCCTAAGATTTAACTCCAACATTTAACCATGACTAAAAGAGAAACAGCAGATTCTGAACTGGAGGTTTTGGTAAGAGATTACTTCATGGCACGTTTTCAGTGCTAGCGTGACAAACTAACGCCTGCCCTCAGCAAGGATTCTGACAAATAAATGCACAATGTAATCAAAAGACTAAACTTGTTTCTAAACCTTGGCTGATGCTTTTTTTCAGTGCTTAAAACACTATATGGATGTACGTACAAATCTTAAGAAAAAAAAATCCCTGGATGCTGTAGGAGCATTGTACCAAGGAAAAAATTCCTCCAGAAGGCCAGCTCATAAATTCCCAGTGCATATTAAAAAGGGACAAACCAGTTAACTCTTGGCAAGCATTCTAAACCTTGATAATATTCTTAACACCAAGCGTTTGCTTCAAGAGTTAAATTTCTCAAGCAACGACTATAACAGCAGTTAAGGCCTATGGCTTCATATTGGGTACCTGATGTCAACCAGCAACCTGACACTGATGCAAGCTGTTATTGTATCTTTATTCATTTATTTAAAAAAAAAAAAAAAAAAAAAAAAGGCTTCTTGCATCAGTCTGCACCCTCATTTCCGTTTCTCTGGTCAGTTAACAGATAAGTGCAGAGAGGAGAAGACTCCTGGTACAAGCAGTACTTTTAGAGTCAGGTCAGTCAAATCTTCCATTTAATTTCTTCATTTTATATTGGATATATTACATTTGTATTCGATATATTGTATCGGTAACAGCCAGGGAAAAAAATAATGTGCACTCAATTACCATTTCAAAAGTACACTGAAATACTTCTGGACACTCAGATACTCCCAGACACACCAGACCATGATTTCACATGAGAAGATCCATCCTACCACAGCACTAAGTGGTGATGGACCGATACACATTTTGTAACGACGGAAAACATTCAGAGCTCTGGATCTGCACCTGCTCTAGGGAAGGTCATACTCTGTGCCACGGCTGTCTTTCTGCCATGGGGAAATGCAATTACTCAACACGGATGCTGTTTTCACAAGGAAATGGCCACCTCGGGCGGAACAGATCAGAAAAGTGGTTTTAACAGCTCTCAGTATGTACTTTAATGATGATTTTGTTATACTGATGTCTTTCAAAAAGCATCAGTCAGGTAGAAAATGTGAGCCTTTCCTTTACTGTCCACAACAGACATCCTCTGACAGTGCTTCTTCACACTGAATTGATGGGGTTTCCCATGTGTCCTCATCTGCCAAGTGAACCATCTGTGAAGTCTGATCCACGGGTGCTTTCTCACCCTGGGCTATTAATAATGCATCTTCTTCTCCTCCTGCTAACTGAAGGTCAGAGCTACAAGAACAATTAGATTCATCGAGTCTGTCCATCAAAGGCTCTGCTGTAGTTGTAGAGGACTGTGCAGTTTCTGTTTCAGCTTGTGGTTCTGTTTTAAAATGAAGTCCAAACAGGTTATTTCGGATGAGGTAGCGAACACACTGCAAAATCACATTCCTTTCGTGTCGGATGTCCTGGGCCAGTAGCTGGAAAGAAAGAAGAGAAGATGATGCACATTTCCCTCTATTGCTCAGCAGCTGATACTAGCCTAGCAAGGTGTACGGTTCTACTCCATAAATTTGAACATCTCTGAATTTAAACAGGTGGCTCTCTCACAGGAGTCCTGGGCACGCAGAGTGGGAGTATGCCTTACCAGACACAGCACATCTACTCATTGCATCAGTTCATCCAGCCAGGAGAAAATGAACCTGACAATTAGCAGCAAGCAGTGGGGCGTTCGGGGATTCTTCTATTGTTTGTTTGGGGTTGCTTTTGAGGGGCGTGGGTGTCAAAAAGTGAAGAGGCTCAGCAAAAGGCCCAGCAGAGGAGAGAAGAGGTCGATCAGGCATCCAGAGATGAGGCAGCAAGGAGGGAGCTGCCCTTCTGGGCAGCAGCAGGCTGCTCGAGCAGCGCAGGTTGGTGGTCAAACACCACTTCTGGTGGTAGAGGCTCAAAACGGCCACGACTCGCTGTGGTGCTGGCACACGACTGTACCACTGAAAAGGATGAAAACCACTCATGTGCCCAAAGTACGCGTTTAAATACCGCTCGTTTAGCACCATTAATGCATTAAGGCAGGTAGAACAAGGTGACAAATCTGATGGTACCTTTGTATTAAGCTGTCAGTCTCTGTTTGCTCAGGTGGGTAGAGAACGTCACTGAATATACCTAAATATTATGAATTTCTCCCCCAATTATCTGACTGTAGACCAGAACGATAATATTCTTGTATCATGGACTATAATACTAGGCCACACACTCCATTACATCAGGATAGCAAGTCTGTCAGCATCTTTTACACTTTCCAGGTTATACTGCACCTGTAATTTAATATCCCATGCATGTTTTATTACAAAACCCCTATGAGTAAAAGATACTTATAAATACAATGAAAGGGCACGTTTCATCAGGTGTGGATTTAAATAGCCGTAACTAGTTTGGGCTATAATCCACCAACCTAAGTCTAGTAGCTTGATCAAAGTGCTAGAGGCCTGCCTAATGTCCTTTAACCTCACTTAAGTTCATTTTGGTATTAAAATAACTAAATAAGTAATCAGCCAGAAGGTTGAAGGACCTTTTGTCATTGCGAGTGTCAGCAGAACTAGTACTCTGAACAAACAGCAAGTTTAAAGCAAGTGGCTAGATCTGTAACTACCTGATCATTTGCAGGAAAGCTGTATTAACATTGCAGAAGATTAGCTAAATTTTGCTTGTAATGTCACAGAGGAGCTTTGTTGTCGTTATAAGTTTCAATAGTGGTTTAACCAGCCACTTTGAAGTGTGCATATTCCTATTTAGACTAGTTACTAAGAGGTGTCACAAGCAGCTGACACCTAAAATGGGCCTTTGGAAACCTCCTGTCTGAACTAAGAAACGAACATTAGGGCAGAGAACGGACAGCACAGTGATGTTATCTTTGCTGGAGTGGGAGAAACTGCCGAATTCCCAAATGGCCAAATAAAGGCACAGACAGGAGGCACCGTCACCCTATCAAAGACTGTATCTTTGTACTGTATTTTTTAATGCAGAGATGGGTATCAGTGGAGTGATGCTACACCAGCTTTTTATTTTGTCAGCATACAGACAGGCTAGAGACACACTACTCCCTGCATGGCTACAATAAACATGTTTTAGTAGTGCCCAAGCTCACTGCTGAATAACTGCCAATAGGCATCTGCAACCATTCTCCTACCTCCCCTTTGATTTTTTTTTTTTTTTAAAAAAAAGCATCATTTCACTGATAAAACATCCTTTTCTTAGCAATTCTACTTCCTCACTTTTTTGATAAATTCCCAGCCATGACTCACTGCAAAATTCCAGCCTTGGTTCCTCAAGGTTTTATACACCGACCATTCCTGACAGCAGAAGCCTACCTGTGAATCTCAGGCTCTCCTCTGTTACTCACAGCCACAGTACACATCCTTTAACAGCAGTTTTGAGCAACATTAAAAGGCAAATAAACCCCACCAAAATGCAATTTTTAAAATGGACTCTAACGGCAAGTGACAATTCAGGCTTCCAATGTTCTGCCAGCTTTTCGCAGCATATGGGACTTCATCTGACTTTTTTTTTTTTTTTTCTCCAGAGTCCTCACTGCTTTGATCACTGACAACTTTGAAGAGCAAGAGATAAAGACAACTGCATGCTTAGGGAGCTAGACAAAGGGCAAACACTTCCTTTTCAGTCACTAGGAGATTTAATTCTTGGCAGCAATGGTAGTACGTGCTAGAAGGACTATCAAGGGATTTCTCCCACATCTGCAGCTTGGGGTGTGCCTTATCAGGTATCTCTTGCCTAAACATCCTGTGCTGTTTTGGAGCCCTGATGTCAGAGGCACCATTCCTTCTCCTGTGTTCTGTCCACAGCAAGTTTTCCCTGTGTGGGGGAGCTTTATGCTGGTTATTTACAGAACCACAAGGGTGATCACCTATCTGATACTGCTTTTGAGTACTAAATGCAATAAAAGCTTCAAAGTTTTGTTTACACTAAAGCAAGCCACTAAGCTTCCAAATAGGATGCTTTGCACCATTACTGAGAATGGAATCCTAACACTGGGGACTCACTTATACAAACCTCTTTTTACCCTTCTGAGATACCAACCTGCTCTTCAAGGTACCAGTGCTGTCACTTCCTCAGACTGATCTAAACATGCCTACAGAGAAGAAACCCATGCACGTGCAGGTTGCAGCTCAACGCCACTCTACAGTCTAAGGTCACCAACACCTTCATCAACAAGATCTCTCTGACTGCATCTGAAAAAACTGTGTGCTCCTCAATCAGAGGAAGGCAGCTGAATAGCAAAGCTGGTCAGAATGAGGCTGATGGGATCACACAGAAACAAAACCTACCGCATACTATCACAGGGAGGAGAGAGGGAAGAATAAAGGTTTTACACTTTGTGCAGCTCATTTTAGGCACATGATTAAGTTGTCATCTCTTGCTCAAAGTCAGTCATTACCTGAAGGAACACCGGGGTATTTCTATTTGTCTATTTAAGCATCTACACCTTCTCTGAGTGAAACACTCACTTTGCTATTTTTAAGACAGGACCCCTGCTAACCGACTGCTCGAACTTCCCACAGGGGAGAGGAGCACCGCTCGCAAATACAGCTACTATTGTACAGAAGAAATTATTTTAGCACTAAGGCTGTTACCATTTCCAGCAGAGTTGGACGGCGCTTCGGAAGGAGAGGTAATGTTTTCTTGCCCCAGTTATCAGGCCCTCTGCGGGGACGTGCATTTGAATTCGAGCTTCTTAATGTCGTGCCTGCATACTCGGGACGTTTTTGATTCGGGTTTCGACTCCAAGGAACACAAGTAGTTTGGGGCGTATTTCTAAGCGCAGCCTGGTCTTTCTCAGCTTTTGTTGCAGTCTTGACAGGGATTTCTTAAAGAAAAAGAACACACTTTCATCTCAAACTTAAAAGCCTCTTTGACTTGCTTATATCCCCATGCACTGACAGTTCGTTAGTACTATTCTTGCTCACATAACCTGACATGAAGATGTTTAAGGTTTACTTGGAGGAAGAGAGGGTTTTGTTTGGTTTGGGGTTTCTTTCAAAATACAAAGAATAACCTCTAAGCATTCACAGAAAGGAAAACAAGGTATTTAAATTCTGCAATACAAAAAAAGAAATAGAGAAGTAGCAAGAGCTGAATGAGATTTTCAAACCTCTGCCATGTTATCACTTAGAAAGTACATTGCTTCCACTTCCCAATATAGAGCTTGCTGCAAATTTGGCTGCTGAGAAAAATCACAATACAGGTAGGGCAGAGAATGCCCAAGTTCCAATTCCCTGCCTACCAGATGTTCTTTGTAACTTTGGGTAGGCCATCTAGGGCAAGTAAGGCATGGTAATTATCTGCAAAAAACAGGAGTAGCAGCAGTTCTCTACCACAAACTGATGCATACACTCAGAGAAGCGCAAAATCCAAATACTAGAGAGTTTAAGTCTTACTGCAACACTCAGCAGCCTTCTATGGAAAAAGCCCTTAAGGACATGGAAATTAGTTCACAGGGTGAGCATAACAGCTTTTTCCTGGCACTATTCAAACATGATTTGAAGCGAGACTGAAGACAGGCTGATTTTTTTCCCCCAACTAAGGGGAAAAAAGCTTAGGAAATCTGATGACACACACCCTAACCAAAGACATTTTATGCCCTCCCCTTCAACTCAGGACAAGCTGCTGAGAAAAGGCAAGCAAAGAGAGAGGGGGGTGGGAAAAACCACCCAGGCTTTCAGGAAGCTCTGTTTGAGGCTTTCCAAAGTATGCTGTAGGGTTGGCAGGGGGGGAAAGGCATTCAGTGCGGGACAGGCCAAGCAGGCAAGGCCATCCCCGTGCACCGACTGCCTGCACAAATGCTGTGTTCTGTCCGGGTGCTCCTCCAGGACCGGGAGCTATCACCATACAGGGAACAAGTAATGGCTCGCCCAGTGACCCCAGTTAGTGCTTAAAACTGGGAGGAAGGAGGAACATGGAAACCAGAGGAGCAGAATAATGGCATATCTTTTTACTCCTCCCAGCCTGTCTTTATGCATGGCTTACACCAGGACTAGCACGCACTGTTACCGAGAGCAAACTGGAAAGGATCTGTACACAGACCGCAAAAACATCCCTGCACATAACCCGTAACAAGCTTCTCTCTTCAGCTGCATAAGCCTAAAAATCAGCAAGTACAAAGACAGCTCTGAATTACAGCACTGGCAGACAGGCGAGAAATCAAAAGGCCTTTCCATATCCAAGTATTTTAGCAATATAGCCACTGAACTACCATGACTTTAACATCTTTGCTAAATGAAAGCCACAGCTTCCACGTTGTATTTTCTTCTACAACACCTTTGATTTCTCTTAAAAGTTTTTTTCTCAAGAAATTTTAAGTACTGTATAGGTCCTGACTGATAACTTGCAGCTTTCAGCAGTTGGGGACACAGCCGTGAAGAACTGCCACTGCGCTACTGCACTCATAAATGCCGTATTTATAAATACACGGGGTCTGGACAATGGGATGGGAGACAGCAGAGGACTAAATACAGGAGAGGTGAAGGCCCCTCTTTCCTCTGCTGCCTCCTTCCCAAAGAAGGGTAATTTGTGATCGTGTTTTATCATTGCTGCCAGTCCACACCAGCACAGTGATGTAGGGTACAAGTGGAGAAGGGCAGAGGACGCGCTCCTACGTACCTTCAGGCTCGCTGTCGGACGCGCTGCCGTAGTTGGCTGACAACGAACTCAGGGCAGAGGTGACCTGCTTGGGAACAACAGTCAACCCCAGCCTTCCATCTTCGGCTGCTGCTTCTTCTTTTTCAGATTCTGCAGGGAGAAAAAAGGCAACAGGGATTTTTTTCCCCCCAAATTCCCGCATGCCAACAGCCCCCCTTGCTGCTAAATCCCCATCTCACCACTACACGAGCCCGATGGTGGGTACCGTTGCTCAACACCGTGGACTACCAGAAAAAACCCACATTTGCCCATCCTCTACAGAGATTCTATGGCAAAGTCGTCTCACCACTGGTTTACACACCTGCCAGCAAAACTACAGAAGCAAAAAGTTTCCTGAACAGAAGCTTGGGCTTTCTGTTTTTTTTTTTTTTTTGTTTGTTTTTTTTTTTTTGTTTGTTTGTTTGTTTTTTGTTTGTTTGTTTGGGGTGTTTTTGGGTTGTTTTGTTTTTTTTTTTTTTTTTTCCCATACCAAACATAATTATAGGTTTTGTTATCAAGTATAGGTAAAGAGAGAGACAGGATTTCATAATATGTTTTGAAGTCTTGCTGGATTTAGTCCTGCAGAGGTGGGGGGTGGGAGAGAAGGATTCAAAAGCCAGTCAGGGTTGGGGGGGGAGGGAGAATTAGGATCATTCAAAGTGAGATTTTAAGAAATTTTTGGATAGTAAAAATAGCTCATAAGGGACATTGAGAACCAAGGCTACAAATTAGGTGATACGTTTTCAGCAGTACTTCAGAGCATTTCGTACTTTAAATCCATGCAGAGCATTACAGACACGTATGAGCAAACAAGGTATTACAGCCTCCAACTGTCACAAAAGAGAATACCAGAAAGGTAAGTGTCAAGTGGACCAAAAATGCTGAAATTGAGAAACTAGGAAAACAGCCCTACCGAAAAAGATTCCTAAAAATAAACATGCAACACTGTGATGGTTTTAGTTTAAAACAAAGGATCTATATGCACTAAAAGCCTGGAAAGATTCTCAGGTGAACACTGTGTGTGTGTGTGTGTGTATGTGTATATATATATATATATATATATATTTACACATATACACACTCTACTGCTAGAAACATTTTGAAAAAATAGCCTTTTGAGACTTCTAGAAAAAGACTACTTGCCATCTTATTTTCACAAAGAAAAAGAGTTGTGCCCTCTCCCATCCCCTGTCTAAGTCTGCCCCACACCTCTTAAGAAGATGTTACTGAAGTAAACTTTTAAAATCTTTATTTTGAAATCACAAATGTTTACTCTCTTCTAATATACCATCAGCAATTTGGTTCATTAGAGCTCATGCCATTCGGTAAAACAACTTTTAGATGAAGACACGGATGTTTATCAAAACTACTTACCTGCCTCTTTACTTTGAGAAAGGCTGATTCTCACTGATTTTGTAATCAGGCCAATTTGCAATTACATTGGAAGCTCATACTAAACACAGTGCATTTTTCTAATAGAAAATACATAGCACCTGCATATACTTAAGCAACTACAAAAATAGCATTTAATTCAAGTTATTTTGATTCATTGCTGCTTTCTTCTCTCTCGTCCAGAATGTTGAATGCATATTATGGTTGGATGCCTTTTCATTTTCTTTAAGTTTTAAAGAATTATTCCCCTTTTTAGCAAATTAGGAAAACACATTTACTAGAAGACAATTTCTCTTGGAGAGTAACAAATTTGGACGAAGCGGTATGGACTACTGAATAGAACTGGCTGTTTCTGGTTAGTAGATCCCTCAAAATTTTACACCTGGCAGGCTCATCATCTTACCTCGTTTCTGCTTATAAATCAAGTGGAAAATTCTGTTTTCTCATCTCCCACTCGATTTCTTAACTGTGGAGGAACTAGCCACTAAACAGAACTTAAGTAAATGCATTGTGCAAAAAATACATTCCCTCTGGAGAAAGGACTGCTGCTGATAGAAAGGTTTGGATACATCAACAAAATGTACCTATACAGTAAAATAATGGACTTTAGTTGTAGGATTTTTTTTTTAATTCTACTTAGTTACATTGTGTTGGTTATTATTTGTTATGACTGTATTTCTCAGTAGTATAAAAAACTGCAACTGGCTTTAATAACATGTAATAAGCAAGATCCACATTCCTTTTCTACCTATTATAACAGAATTTACTAGATGTACTTTGGTATAATTAGACTTTTTATCATTAAATAAAAGACAGATGCTGTGGGGAAATATAGTTATATTTAAGCATACTTAAGTTTCCCAACATGCAGAGATTAGTGGAACAAATAAATTGCATAGGCTTGCTGAGTTCTTGTTCCCATTAATTGAAGATTATGTTTTCAAGAGGAAAAACTCAGCATCAGACATCTTTCCAGGGGATGCATTCTAGCCTCGTTGCTAAAAATAGCTAGAGTATACATCAGCTTACATGCCATATTCTAATAGTACTGCACCACTGATGACTCTATTATAAATAGTTATAGCTGGAGTGTTTATATTGCTGCCAGCATGTGGAAACAAGACATGCTCACCAAAAAAAAAAAAAACCCAAAAAAAAACAAACAAAAAAAAAAAACACAAACCAAAAACAAAAAAAAAAAAAAAAAACAAAAAAAAAAAACCCAAACCTAAGCAACAATACTTTGGAGAATGAACACATATGGAGAATATCAAGAGTAAATTAGATAATACAGCAAAAAACAGAATTAAAAGAAAAATGCTGACATTTTAAGTAATTCACTTAACTCATACAAGAAAATCCATTTGTTTTCACATTCTAAATACTGTTATTTTCAAAACCACAAAGAGATATCTGATAGCCTCTAAAAATAACTCGATCATTGAAGTACTTTATTCTTCTTCCGGCTTTATAGAGATTTTCTTATTTTACATATTAGCTTAACAACATAAATTAGTCCACATCCTTTAGACTATCATACAGTATTTACATCAGAACATGTAATACTGCACACAAACTTTACGGCAGCTTTTCCAAAACCCTAAATTTCAGCATCTAAACTTAAAACAACTCAGATGCTATTTATTTTCCTCTACTTCCTAATGTTACTACAGCATCATTTCCCTATGGCCCAAACCACTTCCCCTTTGCTGTCTTGCCCAGCTAAGTGTTTTGGACAAAAAAGCATTCCTAACCAGGAGATTACATGTAAAATAAGATTATTACTGTAAAGTACTTGTTAAAACAGAGATAGACTTGAGGTGCTCCATTAAGAGCCCAGAAACTTTATTCACTTTGTTAGCTAAATATTGATTTAAAGCTAGCATGTATGTTAAAACATACAAAGCTAAGATAAATAAATATCCAGCACGGTTATTTTTCAAATCCAAAACACGCCTACCCCCTGTCTCCCAACGTCTTTTCCCCTTCAGATTAAGCATTATTTCATGATACAGAATAAAATTTAACACTTCTTAATTCTCACAGAAAAATCAGAAAGACATAAAAGTAGTCTGCTAGATTTTCCCTCTGTGTTTATAATATGATCAACTTGGCTTGCAAGCAAACTTGTGTAGAAGTGCTTAATGCTGGTAGTATCTTAAACATTCTTGTATCAGCCTTTCCAAACCAGATTTTTTTTCTTCCTCTTCAGTGACTTTGCATTTCAGCTTCTCTCCGAACCGTATCTCAGCCAAGTCTACTAGTTTTAGCTCCTCCTACCAGCACATGCAGACATGAATCCAGTCAGACATACACGCGTATCTCAAAGACCTCTGGTCTACTGAGACAGTTTCCTCCATATTAGGCCAAGTCTACTAGGGCAGAAGCTCCCTGAAATGCAAGATTTACAGCATTTCCTTTAGATAAAACACTGACCCACTCTTTCACAATAATCACACTGGGAATTTTCTTAGAAGACCATGTCCTGAATCAGGATCTCTCTCTACGAAAATTTCCTTTTCCAAGGAAGTTCCAAGTGGAAGTTTTAGGCACAGGGATGTTGGACTACTTTCAAGCTTATGACCCTGTTGGCCCTGGCACTATTCTAGCCACAACACAGAAATCCTGGGCTTTTTTTGTTGGTAACAATGACAAAAATAAGTATGACAACAGGCTCCCCAGTATTCTTCTACAAGAATACTGTAAAGCCTTGCATCAATGCACAAATCTTCTACTAAGAGTTTTCCCATTTTATACGTGCATAGTTAGTCCTCTTTCAATCAAGGACAGAGTTTACTTGTTTTTGGAAATCCCCAGCTCTCCCCAGAAGTTGCTAGTTACACAAAAAGTGAGTAATTGCTTCAGCAGTACTACTTAAAATAAAAGTTCTCCAAATTCCTTCATCTTACCAACATCACTGTTTGCCAGAAGACCAAGAGGGTCCATGTCCTTCACGCATGGCTGAGCTGCCAAAGCACGCTGGTTTTCATCTTCCTTTCCACACACGCTGTTTTCTGGTCCCTTGGCTTCATTTTGAGTTCTATGTACATTATAATCGCCACCATTTTTCCTGAATTTCTTCCAGAATGGACGCCTTTGTCTCCTCCTCTGTTTCCCCTGCTGCCCAAGGTTCTCTCCATTTTCTGGAGGTTTCCACATCCCCTTCATTTTGCTGGAGAATAGAAACACAAAGCTCATACAAATGGCAAGACAGGAGAATAAAATCAATTGATGTAACCAAACGGCTCAGGCCCACATTTAAAGTTCAGCAACACAGCACGATGCCAGGACTTACACCAGCTCAGCTAACGTGTGGTGACAGACCAGACAGGCAGTCACAGCTCATCTCACTGGCAAAGCAATATGACAAAGCTGGAACCTAAATGTTTGAAGTTCACAACTTTTATCTTCTAACAAGGTAAAGGGTACATGGGCTAAGCAAGCTCCTTGATCATCTACCAAGTGAGGACGTAGTGTTTTCATTTCGCATTACGAAGTGAACTAATATTGCCTTTGCTTAAGCAATTAAGACATTCAAAACGAGGGGAATGTGGAATTAAAAGGGAAGCATCTACTATAAGCATACTTTCACTGCTGAAAGTATTCTCCTTTTTCCAGTTAGAGTTCAGAGGAGGATATTGCTGCACTAAACCCATTTAGCCATTTGACACGATCAGTCGCAATGACTGCCTACTCCTGCCATGCAAAAGATGCCAATCATCTTTTTCACTCCAATGGAAAAGGAATAAAGGAAACTTCTATCAGGACAATGGATTTTTAAAAACCTGAAATAAAATAACAAGTCCTAAAATATGGGAAGAGCACAGCATGCTGGTTCCACTTATCTTCCACGGTTCCATAATCTTTCAGGTTATCCTATAAACACACAACATGTTTATATGAAGGCACCTGAAGAGCTTAAACTCTTGTCAAAGTCTGTAGATACAAGAATAGATGTGTCCTAGACAGAAAAGCAATTATAGAAGGGACAACCTAAGCTTCCTGAAAATACTTATTTTCAAGCAACAGAAACTTAATTCAGCAAAACAAGACTGCTACTAATCATCAGCACATTACAACCACAAAAGATGTGCAAGTTCTACCATCCCAAATGAGCCCCATGGCTCATTCTGCTCAGTAGTCTCTCCCTCAGCCTCACTTACAGCATGGCAGAGGTCCTATTATCCCTAGTCAACTGCATAACACCATACTTGGGCAAGAGCTTCCTCCTGAAACTTCTCTCTGCATCTGCAAGCAGAGCCTCATAGGTGTACTTCTAACCTGGTACCTTGTCACTGATAAGCAGCAAGCGGAACGTACGAGTAAAGAAAAAAAACTGCATAAAAGCAGGGCAAGTGGTCACCTTTCTCCCCACCTACTTTTCCATGATGTACCACCTAGAGACCCTCTCTGACTAGAGATGCTCCCAAGACACGGATGGTTTTGCAGCTCATGCTGTGGGATGCTGTGTGCATGTCTGACATCCCTGAAATCTTGCAGCTAGGTCAAGAACTTCTGTTGGTTTGTCTTCACTCTGATGTCCCAAATTGTCTTTTGGTTTCCCCACCCTTCTCAAGTTACAAGAAACAGCATGTAACTGCATTCTCTTCACCTCTTACCACTTCCACACTTTTTCTAGACCTCCACCATACAACCCTTCCAAGCCACCCACTTCTCTGTACAGAAATGTTCATGTTACTGACATTCCTCTGTTCCATACCTTTCCGGCCTAACTAAGTCCTTCTTGAGGGAGAACAGGGCCTGCCATAGCATTCAAAATGGCTTTATACTGCAACTATTTAATTTCATTCTCCAGTCAGTTCATGACAGTGTCTAACAGAGCCCTGATAACATCATCCATCACAGTGTTTCTGTGGCACAACTGGCAAGCCACCACCTTCCTACACATCAGTCTCTCATCCACAAAAGGAGGCTAATACTAACTCCCATAACTCAACTCCATCTAGACAGACACCTGCATCTCTGAATTTGTACAACCAGGCTCTAAATTCAGGATGTTGTTGTATACCCTAGAAGATAATTGAGCAAATATAGGCTCAATTAGAGGTGTTGTCCTTGACCAAAAGTTAAAAACAACGTTCTGATTTCCCCGGGTCCTTGGACACCCAGAAAGAAACCCCAAGGTCACAAACACATCCCAGCAAACATCAGCCTGGGATCTGCCTTCTGCCTTCCTCTTGTGAAAGATATTCTACTCTTCACTTCCCATTTAGAGGGGGATAAAGAGCCATGCACTATTAAATAATCAGCTGTTGCAAGACACCAGACAAACTACCAAAGTGGCCCTTCTCCCTCTCTAATCTCACATGCAGGGATGCTGAGAATTAGCAATTGCAAAGCACTTCAGAGAACCACAAATGGAAAGTGCCACAGAAGTGTTAAGTATCTAATCCTTTCTAAATCTTCCTTAGCTATTTGCTTTAATAGTACAGCTTGCAGAGAACAAGCTGTATTCTATTTTTGCCTCATGCATCAGTAAATTTGCCAGATAAGCTGCAATTCCAGAATCTTTACTGTTGGTATACAAAGCAGAAACGACAGCTTTTTGGACAGTTCATCACGTTTGCAGTGCTAGCAGCTCAAGGAAGGGAGGGGAAAAAAGAACTTTCTAAAAATCAACCAGAGCTAAAGGTCACTAAGCGAAAGCAAGCAATTTATAATTTTGAGGGTTTTTTTCCCCAAACAATTTTCCACATATAGTTGCTAACAAATGTAATAGTATGGAACTGCCGATGGACATTTAAGACTACATAATGCAACCGACCCATAGTCACAAGAGTTACCAAATAAACCTTTAGACACCAAACTGATTGTTACCGTGACAAACAAAACTCATCCTTGTTCATAAAAACCTCCAAACGTAATATTCCATCCGCTTGTGGCTTTAGTCTTAATGCTTAGGATTGCCTCCTTGGGTCCAAAGCACTTCTGCAACTTTATATCTTTTGGAGGAAGTTTTACTTCAATCTTTCATAAACCCTCCCTTCCAAAGGCATGAAAGGCAACTGGTTGGAGGGGGTTGATAAGCGTTGGTTCTCCTGAAGCACATGCTGCGTGAAGGTGATTTGTCACCATTTAACAAATTATCCTAGACTGATATGAACCCTATTCTGCACTAGTTCAACAGCTTTATCATGGTAAAGCTGTTTTATTTTTTCTGTTGTCATGCCTTATAAAAACAAACAATGAGGCAAGCTCCAGGTTTACTTCCATGAAACAGCAAATGGTATTTAGCAAGAGCCCCTTAGAACTGAGTCTGCTCCTGCCTTCAAACTCAGTCATTCTAGTTTAAACTAGTCATTTTCTAGGAGCACGGATCATTATAAAAATTTTTTTTAAAGTCTTCCCACAGGCCCTAAAGCTAATGAAGTTAGCTGGTTCCACATAATACTGACACTGAGTGGAAGAGAAAAGAACAAAGACCATACTGGAAAGTAATTCGCAATATAAGGGAGAAAAGAGAAATCCAAGAGAAGGAAGTTATTAGTCTCAGAACAAAGGCAGCAGATAGATAAAGATGATGGATGGTAGAAGAAAGAAATAGCACTACTTAAGCTATGAAAATAAAGTTAAATTTTCCTCCCCTCCTCACTCGATTATTGATCTATCATCTGAAAAGAGAGAGTAAAACAAATCTGCTTAAAATCTCTCTTGGCCATTTTCAGGCATTAAAGGATTAGACTATGTGGATTCATTATGTTGCGTGACTTCCATCCCCATTATTTCTTTTCCAGAGGCCAAGGTTACACTGATCTAATGAACGGCCACTAGAATGTGGTTTTCACAAAAAAGCCAGAGTGCAGAATTCAGGAAAAGCATCAGATTTCTAATACAATTATTGTTTAATTTAACTGAAGTGGACTGTGAAGCACTGTAAACAAAAGAACATTACATCTGCAGTTTGTCAAATGACCTGTCCTCTGTTAAAAGGGCAGCCAGATCGTATGTACAGTGGAAGCAGTAAGTGCTGGGAGATCACAATAAGCGAGCATACTTCCGAACTCATTAGGAGGAAAGTAACAAGCTTGTTTCAAAACACTTACCCAAACTGTTGTGTAGTCAGCACTTCTCCCCTTTCTTCCTTCTGCATCTGCATCGCCTTCTTCCTCTCAATATTTGCCAACGTAGGAAAATTTCTGGGAGAAAAAAAAAATTCACTGGCTCTTAAATGATTCACTGTACTTTGTCAATTCCCCCTTTACCAAACCAGCATCCTCTATAAACGTAAGATTTTAAAAACATTTAATGGAATTTTACCAGATGCTTTCCTTCTTAAAAAGGCATTGGTGAGGAAAAGAAACCTGAGTGCATTTATGCGTTCATATTCAGATGCAACAACAAAAAAAATTCTACTGAATTGGCATAATCAGCTTTCCCAAACCATCAAACAAACTATGGCCAAACAGTTCAGTTACGCTTACGGACCTTTTGCCTGCCACTACACCTAACAGCACAATTCAGTCCTGCAATTTTATTTTTAGGGTGCTTCAACTGGAGTATTTGAATGATCTTAAAAGGCACAACATGCCTTCAGCAAGCCAACTGCTGAGTTCTTGTAATATCAAAAAAAGGCTGTAAGAATAGCTGGGTGCGCAAGATTTCTTTTATGTGACAGCTGGGGAAATGCACATAAGTTTCCTCTCGAGCAATATTCAGTATTGTGCTTGCACACTGACCTCTAGTTCACCAAAACTGCTGCCCCTTTTCAATTCAAGCTTCAAGAAAAATTGCTAAGTCATGCAGATCAAAACAAACCTACTGTTATAACCATCTCCCAAACCATTCCTCTCTTCCATTACCCACCTCCCTCCCCATCCCTTCCTACGGCCGAATGCCACACTGGTTCTAACATGCAAAGCCTGCTGCAAATTACCCTCAAAAACCAAAAACAGCTTAGTTGCTCTGCAAACATTAGTTAACTAAATCCCAGTGATTTGAGATAAAGATAATAAATGAGAAACATAGGCACACCCCCACCAGCTTCTGGATAGAAACAAAGTATAAATATTTGATAAGTCTATCAAAATGGAGTAACAAGAAACTTCAAACAGCTCCTCACTATATATAGCTATCAAAAAGGACATGTATCTTTCTTTAAATATTTAATCATATCACATGCATCTTCCTCATTTTACAACATGAATGTTAAGTGTCACACTGATGCAAGACAGCTTCAATGACATACCAAGGGAAAAAGATGAGAAGCATTTCCTACGAGACACACCTAAACTCGCTACAGAACTTGCCTCCTTTAAGAAGATTTGAACACGAGCAGCCAACGTCTGTTTTCATGGGATTTCTCCTGAAAATCCACCATACAGCTCAAGCAAGCATAGGGATGCGATGCTTTATCTCTGCTCTTCTGTTAGCTACGTTTGTTCATCCATGTTATAACAGTGCCAGCACACAGCAAGCATGCCATTAATTATTTAATCTCAAGACCTTTGCATTGTCGAAGACCCCTGTGTTGGAATCTCTCCACAATTTTCAGATAAGGTGCTTTCCTTCACATGAGTAAGGCTGACAGCAGGAGATATATATATATATATAAAATAAGTAGTTATGTTCAAAAGGGCCCCAAACTTGTCTTTTTTTTTTTTTTTTTTTTTTTTAAGACATAAGGGAAGACCCTTAATCCTTGAGCAGAGGCGTCTTCAAAGTGCTTCTGTAGTTACACTGATTAAGGACATATTCAGACATGCTCTCACAACATTTGAGACATGACTGCCTCCCACTTTCATTCCTACGAGTTACCACTCCCTCCACTGAGCCACCATAATGGACTCCACAAATGCTTTCAGTTCAATTCATTGCCAAGACAGCTTTCTCCTAAACCACCCTTCCAGTTGACACAGGCAGTAACTAACAGCTAAAGAGAACTCGAGTCCTAAGTCTGAGTATGCCTGCAAAAGCACATATGAAGGCACCTGTAGTAGCTGTGTTTATATTCTCCAGCTCTTCTCAAATGTTAACTAGCATTTTTCTCAGCACCTCTACCTCATGCAGAAAACATACCTATTTTGACAGCACACGTGCAGTGTTTCTTTTCATTCACAATGAGTGAATGAGCATCTGTTACTTCATTCTCCATCTAAGAACCTGGGGGGCAGCAAGCTTTGAGACGTTCAAGTTTGCAGGTCACCAGCCTCGGTACAAGGTAGACTGGGTTCACTCCTCCCCGGGTGCTCTGCTGTGCAGTGACAAGGCTGGGCTCACCTACCAGTGGGTCCTGGTCAAGTCAACCCCAGTTATCCTTGCAAGGAGCAAGTGGACCAAAGTTACCCACTCTCCCCAATGTACCACCCCCAGTGCAAGCCCGCAACTCATCAGGTACCACAACCCCAGCAAAGAGGTCTGTGCACCTCCTGGCATCAGCTAGATCTACCCCTGGAGGCAGCAAAATTCAACTGGACTCAAGTGGAAGCAGATGCCTATAATGGAAACATTATGGTCTCGAGGTACAGCTTTATGGCAGACTTTACAATCTTCACTATCTAAAGACAGACACAAAGTATTCAAGAGAGGTCAAAAAAATCAAGAAGAGAGGATTTTTTTTTTTAATTTTTTTTTTTTTATACAGAGAATTCTTATTCGGGAAGGCTAAATTTAGGAATACTGCTACTGAACAGAGGTGTGACAATACTGAAGGAAGAGCCTATACTGAATCTCTCCACATAAAAGGCCATGTGTTAAAATCCAATGAGCTGACTTGGGTTTGAATCCTTCTCAGAAGGCATGACCCCCTCCTCCCCTAACAAAATGAAGTTCTTAAAATGTTACCTACAAGTACCACTGAAGTAGAAGAAGTAGTCCAGAACTTAGGTCCCACAAGCAACTTGTCAAAGCTTAAATACAGAGTGACAGCGTCATCAGTCCCCACAAAGGCTTTATGAACATAAGCAACTTATTGTAAAAGAGGGAGTTAAACCAGGATGTGGTGGTCTGGCATAGCAGATTTCATGAAGGAGCAAGTACTGCCCAAAAAGGCAGCTCCATTTCACAGCAGCTGCAGTTTCCAACCATAGACACTTCTATAATCCAAACTGTTTTTCCAGCTGAGTATATTACATATACACCAACAAGGTCCAGAGGCAGGGAATGGTGACACTGAGCATAATCAGTAATACGTGTGCCTCAGTGAACAGATTTTTTTTTTCTTTTTCCAATAAATGCGCGCACTAGCCAGAGTCATACATGTTTCATAGGCTAGTGTACTTTATCTTGCTCACATAAACATCACAGTAAAATAGCTCTTAGCAAGTGGTGGAAAAACAAAGCTTTGCCAAAGTCTAACAGAGAAGAGACCTGTTTCTATAGCAGTTTACACAATGAATTTCTGAGTTGAGAGCTCTACAAGTTTATTTATATGAACAGCACTGTGATCAAATTGCCTCAACAATTCCTTGAGCTAGTCTTGATCGCATACAACAACCAACAGCAAAGGGGACACGGATAGCCCAAAGGGAACAAAAGCTGATAAAATCTTGTGTTAAGGCTCCCAGGCATTTAATCAAGCACTGCATCTCTAGTGTGATTTTACCATATGTTAGCTGAAGCAGTTTTATTGCTATCCCTGCAGTTAAGTAAACTTATTGTATCTTTGTTTACCTTGATCTACTAACACACTCCTACTTACTTTGCTTCATCTTCTCTACTTTTACCAGGTGCTAAGAACTTTTTTCCTTATTGTATATCTAACTACTACGAATGCAACACTAGGGAGGATTCCAAGCTACTCTAGGATTATCATTATCCAACTAGAAAACCACAAATTAAAAGTGGTGTGGTTGACAGTAATGGCCTTCATTCATCACACACATACTCAGCCTATGAGGTGTACTGCAACAAAATATAGCAGTCAATCCTTAACTGAACAAAAAAACCCCAGCAGATTAAGGTAAGGGGGGAAAGGAGGGAGAGAATTTACAAGCAATACATAAGGTCAAGAAAATCCTCCAGTGTTGTATTAGGACCTAAGCAGAAGTAAGTTTAATGATTCACCTTAACACCAGAGCAGCCCTGCCACATTCTCTCTAATAACCTTTGCTCAAGAAGAGTTGGTTAGAAACAGATGGTCTAGCAGGACCCAGATCTCACTTGGGAAGAAGGGAAGACAACAATAACTCCTCCTGACCCATTAAGGAAATGCACTGTAGATAACTCCCTTTAAGCTCATGTTTAAGAAAAAATATGCTGAAAACAGCACATTTCTCAACACTTGGAAGGAACAGAACAAACCAAAACAAAAAAAGTAACTGTAATCACCAAAGTTGATGTCAGACTTCACAACCATCTGTCTGCAAAACACAGGGAAACCCTGAGATCCTGTGGGACTTCATCTCTATTGCTGTTCATTTAATTAGATTGCCTGGCTCAGGAGGTTTAATGGGCCACAAACCATTAAGTAGTCTTTTAGGTAAGCAGAGACGTGAAGGCTGCAGCAGCGAACTGGGCATCGTACAGAATCTGACCCAGCATACTTCATCCAGAGGTACTTTCTCTTTACCAGCTCTCCTCCTTCTCTTCCCTCTACATGAGTAAGGCTGCACTTTAAAACACAGGCTCTTTCTAAAAAATTTTAAGCAGGCTACACAATTGAGCAATTAAGAAGAAAAAACTCAACTTGGTAAGTAATTATTTACAACAGCTGAAAGAGCAAGCAAGACAGAAATGTTACGGACGCAGCATGGAAACACACATGTTAAATCACTGCAACCTAATTGGAAACAAACTACTAATGACCTAAAAAGATTCATTCTTAGCTCTGACTGGAGCTTCTAGAAAGAAAAAGGCTTTTTCCTGTCACCATAAATCAGAACTGCCTAATAGCTCAGACTCCCTCGGGTGTCCTTTTTTTCTGTACAATGCAGTATTTACTGTAAGTCACCAACAGACCTTTAGTACTAAACTGATGCTTTGCTGGTGACCCAATTAATGGTTCATAAAAGTTTCAGCTGGGTTTCTCTTCCCCTTCCCCCTCCCTCCCCCCTTTTTTTTTTAATTTTTCAATTTCATTGGAACAAAAAAAAGGAAAAAAAACAAACCCAAAAAAAAAGGATGTTAGTTCAGCTTCCTTGCTGTACAAAGAGTAGCAAAAGCCAGCCAGGTAGTCATTCTATACCCATCCATTATAGCTAAACAAGATGCCCACAGAAGGACCCAAGTACCAAAATAAACCACAGCACTACTCCATCTAGTGGCCTTCGCTTGGAAGGTCCTAATAGCATATTGCCTGTTTTGGTTGGTGGTCATGACTACAAGAATTGATTTCCATTGATTTCACTGTGCTGCAGTGAACAAAGGCTTTCAGCATTGTTGTACCACAGCCAGATTATATTTATCTTAAAAAAAAAAAAAAAAACCACAACACAAAACCAAAACCCAGTATCCCCACCATGAGATTCTCTAGAAACTCAGAAAAAAAAAAATCTCAGGCAGACAATCATCCTTACAATAAACTGGAGATAAATGTGGCTTTGACTCCCAGCAGCCACTCACTGAGCAAACGGTTTCTAACACATGGTTGTACATTTAATTCCTGCTTCCCTAATGTCCTAGCAGGTACTGACATACATACCTTAAACATAATTTCAGCACTTAAAATTTAGCATGAGCCACTAGACAGGAACTCTCCCACACACCTCCCAAAAGAGAGAAGTATGAAAGGTTGAAAATGCGTAGCAAAGACTCTACACAGAAGTACTCATGTTTTCCCTTGGAGCTACTGTTAGTGTAGGCCACCAGACAGACAAATCTAGGGACATTTTGGGTTTTGCTAACTCTGTTAACGCTTCATATTATAAGTAATAAAGATCTGGTTAAGTATCACGGTTGGGGGAAAACAAAAAGGATGGCAGTATGTACACTGAGAGCAAATTAAACCCAAGTCCTCAAGTATCTTTTGAGTAAAAGGAAACCTTGGAACTAAAACCAATCTAGCACCAACTTTGTACTTGCACAGATCACAAGCAATTTTTGCCTGGTTACCTATGGCATTTTAAACATAGAAGAAATTTTTGTATCAACAAAAGCTGTTTCTAAAAAGAGGAAACTACAGGTTATCTTAATTTGTAAAAAATGAACCGTTGACAGCAACAGTTGACTGACGTGACATGCTGACGTAGTGATAAGACTTCCCTCTGCTTTTCTGAAATCTGCAGAAAAAACTGAGACCATGTCCAAAAGAAAGTTAAAAATTGCAAGAATGAACTTACATGAGGGAAAATTTTGCTTTTCAATACAGCAAAAAGTGATGGGAAGCAATAAAAAAAAGATCTCCTACCATACATTCCACTTTTTTTTTTATAAAGCCACTGTGTAAAAACTTATTAAGGGAAGTCAGGTTCAAAGCAAGAATGCATTAACTTTGCTTTCTAGCATAAATGCAAGCTAGTAAGACTGCATCAGACAACTGGATTTATTTTCATTTAAAAAAACCCAAAACAGGTGATTAGTACACAGCCTCATTACCAATGACCTTGAAATTAAATTTGTATCACTTCCCACTCTGGATATAGGACTCTTGCTCATGGAAATAAAACCTGTCTACTGATCACTCGCAAGACTATATTCTAACTCAGGAACAGAGGTGAGGAAAGCCAATAGTATCTTTTACCTGCTGGAAAAGGGTACTTTTATCTGTTCAACTCAGAGAAAAAAAAAAAAAATCAACGGGATAAGGTCTACGAAAGTACAGATTGAATTTTGAAACACTTCAATGGTGGTCAACAGAAAAAAGTTGTACCACCTCACATAACGAGTAATAATGAGAAATACTGCTTACACATTAAACTTTACATTGCAATCTAGGTACAATGCAAATTAGACTACCCGAGACAGCACCGTTCATGGATTCCGTTCACTTTCAGTAGAGAAGCATCAACCAATGCAGAAAGTTCTTAAAAATCTAGAAGGCTCCCCATTGGGGTCTACTGGGACAACTTAGGCTGTGGAAATTTGCACACAGCAGGATGTATTAAAATTATAATCAGTACTGACTTCTTAGCTATTAAAAAACCACCGATCAAACACACACACATTTCTGACCTGAAAGGTCTCAGTGATCAGGCTAAAAGGAAGTGAGTCGTTCACCTAACCTGGGGTACCACATCAAACATCAGGGAAAGCTGCTTCCTTCTCAGTTGATATCTTGCCTTCTTTAATAATCATCAGTCTCTGCAGCTCACATCCTCCTGGCCCAGGCATTCTGACACAGACCACTACTGCAAGAGTTTTGCAGAGTCAAAGGAACAGGAACAGCAAGCATGTGCCTTTCAGCATTCATCTAATGATCACACAGGGAAAATACAGCAAAACAAATTCACAGGTCACAAAGTCTTACTCACTTTTTTCTGTCTTCTCTCCATCTAGTGATCTCTTCTGGACTATCTAATTTTATTCTTTTAGCACCAGGTGCATGTGCCTAAGAAAAAAGTATTGCATAGTTGTTTAAAAGGGGAAGGAAAAAACCCACAATAGAAATAAAAAAATATCATTCTGTCAACTATAGTAGTATCACACTGTTTTCACCTCCAAAAGTGGTGAGACTGCATAAAGCGTTTACAAATTGAATCCACTAAAAAAAAACCCCACAGTATTTAACACATTTAAAACCACAATATAGTCTTACAACAGATTCTACCCAAAGGTGATATGTTTTCCTTCCAGAAGAATGAGGGCAAGCCTCTGAGGAATGAGAAAAGGAACTACAGTAATGATTGCATAGACTCAGATTTCAGGTCCAGGGGGATACCTACGTTCTTCCAGTGTATGTGAACTATCTTCTCATGTGCGCTGAAATTGCAGCCTTCTTCTGTGCACTGCAAGATAAGGGGGTAAATTTAAGACACACCAGGTTATGCAAACAACTTCTAAACAAGCATCTGAGCACACTTCAGACAAACTCAGTGCCAGATGCCTGTACAGTTAGTTATACAGAACTTTTAAATTTAACCTGTTTAACGCTGTTTTAACACAATGTGATTGTAAATACAGTGAGAAAGGATAATGTACTTTTAAATTTAGTCCGATTTTAGCACAACCAGTGAAGTCAACTTATCTGATGATTGGAGATAATGTGAAGTTAACCTAAGAGCTAGATTTGCAAGACTCTTCAATTTCAAATTTTAATACTTCTTTGCAGTAAAGGAGTGGAATTTTAAAATGTTTTCCACATAAAGTCTTTTCACACGAAAATTTTACATGCTACACTGATGTCAGTGAATTCATTCCCACCATTTAGATTACCTCAGCAAGAACACCAAAAATACAACTGAGACCTCCTCTACACACAACATTCAGAAAAAATCCCCTACTAACACTGTTTGTAGGTCTGGAATCTCTTTGCTAAGTCTTTCATTCAAAGAATGACTACAGCTAAGTACTTATCAGACAAAGTTAAACATCAAAGTGTAAATAAAACAAGCCAAATTCATCAACCTGTTTATGTTGTGAAATATGTTCATCATACTTCTCCTGGTTTTTATAGCCACGGTCACAGGTATCACAATAATGAGAGAAAACTGGCTCTTTTTTCTTTTTGGTCTGAAAAAAAAAAAAAAAACAAAACCAATAACAAACAAAAAAATAATCTCAAGATTGCAGTTACAAGTTATCCCTGTTTTTAATTAGGAGCGAAACACTTTCAAGAGCATTTTTGTGAATAAAGCCATCAACTAAAACATGTCTCAAAAGTTTCAATGCTAACATAACATGAAAGCGAAGGTCAAATCACTTCTCTTTCAAACAAAGCACTCTGCACTCAACTCTTTCCACTACCACCTTTCCATTAGTTATCGCTTCTGCAAACACACCAGGCTGGCACAGATTTATTAAGGGCTGAGAGGAGAGTTCTGCTACAGCCCTGAGTCTTTTCCCTATCAAGTCAGACCATGCCTGTTCTCACATGGCATGTAGGAGCTCAGAGGTCAGCAGAGATCCTTCCTTCTCCCACTACACACATCAGGGTGACCTGGCTGTCTGGTCCTGATAATACTACAGAGAGCTAACATAATTTCTGTACTCTGGCATCACCATAGTAAAAGCTTTTCTAAAGAAAATCTGTGTTAGAATTTGGTTGAAAAGTATTTTACTTTCAGTGGTCTCAGGATTTGCAGGCTGATGTCATACATTTGCTCTCCTGTAAGGGCAGGCATGTTAGACAAGAATATGGGGTCTCTGTAGTATCATGGGGCAAGTCTCACACGACTGCCACCATCATAGAATGATGTTCGGGTTGGAAGGGACCTTCAAAGACCATCTCGTTCCAATCCCTCTGCAATGGGCAGGGACACCTTCCACTAGAGCTGGCTGCTCAAAGCCCCGTCCAACCTGGCCTTGAACACTCCCAGGGAGGGGGCAGCCACAGCTTCTCTGGGCACCCTGTGCCAGTGCCTCACCACCCTCACAGTAAATAATTTCTTCCTTATAGCTAACCTAAATCTACCCTCTTTCAGTTCAAAGCCAGTGCCCCTTGTCCTGTCACTACAGGCCCTACTAAAAAGCCTGTCCTCATCTTTATTGTAAGCTCTCTTTAATTACTAAAAGGCAGCAATAAGTCCTCCCTGGAGCCTTTTCTTCTCCAGGCTGAAAAACCCCAACTCTCTCAGCCTTTCTTCAAAGGAAAGGTGCTCCAGCCCCCTGATCATCCTCACGGCACTCTTCTGGACCCACTCCAACAGGTTCACGTCCTTCTTGTGCTGGGGACCCCCATCCATACCTTTGGCTTGTTATTGTCTTCTGGAAAACGTTTACTAAACCCAGGTGCTTGCTCGCCTTGCCATTTCTGATAGAAATTGCCGTTTCCACCTTCAAAATAAATAAATAAATAAATGAATAAATAAATAAAGCCAGTTCTAGATATAGCTGGTAAAACACACCCCCTACAACCTCGGTAGGTGCGCTGTGGTGGGGAAGAGCCTGGAGGGTGAGGGGGAAAGAGACGAGCTGGGGCTGCACGACCAGCGCGGGGGGGGGTGGGGGGTGGTCTTATATTTGGGAGGGAGGAGGAGCCCTCCACCCCTCAAAGGTTAGGGAGGGCCTCAGGGTCCCCACCGGTGAGGGAAGGGAAGGAGTGGCCGGGCTTCCCCCCGCGCCCCTCACCAGCGTGCTGGCCCTGCGGTTGCTCTCCGTAGGCCGGCGGGTACCAGGCGGAGGGCGGCGTGTAGCTGTCTGGAGGCGGGTAGCTCCCGGCCTGGGGGTAGTTCTCAGCAGGCGGGCAGCTCTCGGCGGGCTGGGAGTAAGCCTCGGGCGGCTGCGAGTAGCTCTGGGCCGGCGGGTAGGGCGCGGGGGGAGCCCAGAAGCCCGGCTCCCAGGGGGGCGGCGGGCAGAAAATGGGCGGGGGGAGCCCCGGCGGGGGCGGCGGGTACCAGGGGAAGGGGTTCATGGCGGGCCCGAAGCGGCCGCCCGGCTCCGCCAGCAGCTCCCACCAGCACCACGTGGGGTCCCGCCAGCCGCCGCCGCCGTCGCCACAAAAAATACGTCACATCCAGGGCCCGACGCTTGGCCCAGAGGCGCGGCCTGCTCGCCGAGCGCGGGGGAAGGCGTCATCCGGCAGCGCCGGAAGTGCGGCGGCGCGGGAGAGGGGGCCGGGCTGCGTGGGTGTGGGGGTGTGTCCGTCCCTCCCTTCCTCGCCCCGCCCCCCCGCGCCCCGAGGTGCGCTGCGCATGCGCTATGCGCCACCTCCCGGCCCCTCGCCATGTCCCGCGAGCTCATCGGCCCCGCGCTGCCGCCCGGCTTCCCGCGCCGCGCGGAGGCGGACCCGGATGAGGACTTCAGCCAGGGTAAGGCGCGAGGGGCGCCCCGCCCCCACCCCACCCCCCCCCCCCACGTCCTCCGTCACGCGCGTGACGGCGGGATGCGCGAACGCGAGCGGCGGGTCCGCTGCGTGGGGGTGGGGGGAGGCGCGCGGCCGCCTCTCGCGTGGGGGTGAGGTGGCTCCGCAGCGGGGGGGGTGTCTGGGGGAAGCTCAGCTTCACGGGTGGCTTTTGTAGCGGCTTTTTCAGGGGAAAAAAAAAAAAAAAAAAAAACAAACAATCAAATCTTGCGCGATGGGATCCAGCAGATATGTGACGGTCTGAAACGTGCCGTTTTTAAAAAAAAAAAAAAAAAATACTGCGCTGATCTGTTTTAGGGTTTTCCTGCCCAAGTCGCGAATGTGCGTTTAGGCCTGCGTTTTTCCGTAGCTGTGGGATTCACTCAGCAGTTAGAATCTAAAATGACTGTTAAGCGGGTATTTTCTGCTGGCAGCGCGGGGGATCGCTCCAGCGGGCGGGTAAAATCACAGAGAATATACGCCGCGAGGTTACATGTATGCAGCGGATTTCCAAGAACTAATTACATATACGTAAGATTCCCTGGAATTTACATAGTCCGAGCATGCGTGATAAAATCAGGGTTAGGGTCTTTCCCTCCTCGGGTGGTCGTTCATCGTCTTCCTCACAGTGTCCGCTGATTGAATTTTGGGTTTCCTTTGCCCGCATACGGCCATGGAGTGAGCTCATCCGTTCTCCAGATGCTCCAAACTAACTCCCAGGTGCTTATCTTGACAATGGTGCCAGGGGGACTCGGGAAACTTAACGGTTAAAGTCTACCTAAATTTGATCAGGAGAGAAGCTGCCTTGCTTCCAAACATCTTGCTGTTAATTCCGCCCAGCAGTTGACTAAACTTTGCGGGTGAAACTGAGAAAAGAATGCAAGTAGGACATACTGATCAACTAGGATTCTACTATAAACAAGTTCTTTAAGCAAAGGAAATAGTTCTGGCCTTCTCTCAGCTGTGGGCGTGAAGTTAGTGGCCAGAAAAAAGAGGCGGTGGTTAGGTCTGTGGAGCTTGCTGTCCTTTGTTAAGCCAAAACACTTCATGAAACTACTGTTTTTCAGGTATCTTTCCTCGGGGTGCAGAGCTGACTGGTGCTCAGCCAGGCTGTGGTGCCTCCCCTTGCCAGGGTCTCTAATGTTGAGAGCAGCCACATCAGAAGTGGGATCTCTCTGAGACCAGCTGACTGCCAGGCTGCCTCTTCTGCAGTGGAGCTCAGTTTCCCCCCCACTTAAACTCTTACATGTTCTGTATCGATAATATCTCTGGAAGTAGCAGTTTGAGCATTAGCACTCTCCGTATTTAATCCAGGGTCAGGTCACTAGTATATATATTCATTTTCTGGCAGTGTTTCAGTGATCGTTTGGTATGCCAAACAAAGCAGCTCCGGTTGGAAAGGTTTGCTGTGCTCGTCTGCTCGTCTCGTTTCTTAATCCAGAAGAGGGAGCAATAGGAAGAGAGGAATTTAGCTGACACCATAGCAACATCAAGCTCCAGGTCTGTAGTTTGGCTTTGTACTGAAGTCCCAGCTACACGCTTGGTTGAGCTGATGCAGCCTTTCCCATTCGTATTTGTGTTGATTGCTTATTCACTTCCTATCAATGTACTGATACGTGTTGCAGATATTTATACTGTGTGTGAATCCACTGAGCAAAATAAGTTAAACTTATAGTTAGGCTGTGGTTTTGTGATACCAAGTGTTTGGAGAGTATCTAGTCTAAGGTATTGACTCCAGCTTTTCCACTTGTTGTCCCAGTGTACGTTGACTCCGTTGTAGTACAGTTACACTGGCAGATCTGCATGGGGATTTCTGTGTGAAGTGGATGAAGGAATTTATTTGCTTTTAAAAAAAAAAAAACAACAACAAACAAAAACAACTGGGGGGTGGTTTATTTGTTTTTATAACTTTTAGAAACTTTTCCTGACTTAAAACAGCTTGGCACAACAACCAAGTGTGCCTGCTCTCCACATGAGGCATACTGCTGCAGGGCAGAGGAGGAGGAGAGAGCAAGTACTTTGGCATAAGGCGCTTTGTTGTGCAGAAGTACAGCTCCAGCTGGAGCCCCGTGCCTGGAGGTTCTGAGCAGCAAAATCGTGTGGTGGGGCTGCTTCAAGCATCTTCTGTGCTGTAACACTTGCAGGGTCTTGAGACAGAATGGGCCTAAAAGTTGTTCTGTAACTATTTGCTTGTGTATTCTAGCTATTTTAAGAGATACTTCGCCTTTTAAAGATGAACAGTTTTTTCTGCAGGTTTTCTTTCCTTCTGGTCTCACTGATATTTGAGCTGCTCTTTGCTTTTCTTTAAGAACACTCATGGGTTTTTATTCTACTTTCATAGTTTCTGCCTCCCAACAGCAACAAAGTAGGACTTTGAGCAGCCATTCTGAGAATTCTGTCAAAAAGGTTTCACTCAGAACTATAAAAGAATGGAATAGACTGTTCCAGTTGGAAGGGACCTACGATGATCATCTAGTCCAACTGCATGACCAATTCAGGGCTGACCAAATGTTAAAGCATGTTGTTGAGGGCATTGTCCAAATCCCTCTTAAACACTCACAGACTTAGGGCATCGACCGCCTCTCTAGGAAGCCTGTTCCAGGGTTTGATCACCCTCTCGGTGAGGAAATGCTTCCTAATGTCCAGTCTAACCCTCCCCTGGTGCAGCTCTGAGCCATTCCCACACATCCCATCCCTGGATGCCAGGGAGAAGAGCTCAGCCCCTCCGTCTCCACTTCCCCGCCTCAGGAAGCTGTGGAGAGCACCGAGGTCGCCCCTCAGCCTCCTTTTCTCCAAATTAAACAAGCCCAAAGACTTCAGCTGCTCCTCCTAGGACATTCCTTCCAGCCCTTTCATCAGCTTTTTTGCTCTCCTCTGGACGCACTCAAGGACTTTCACATCCTTCTTAAATTGTGGGGCCCGAAACTGCACACAGTATTCAAGGTGAGGCCGCACCAACGCTGAATACAGCAGGACAGTCACCTCTCAACCAGCTGATTTACTGTGTTTGATGCACTCCGGGATGCAGTTTGCCCTCTTGGCTGCCAGATAAGCATTTGTCTTCTGTCTGCGATATGACATTGCCATGCTGGATGTAGTGAGCAAAGATGCCTGCTGATCCATTCTTAAATCTGCATTTCTTTCATCTTGATATGGATAACATGGAATCACAGAATGGTTTGGGTTGGAAGGGACCTTTAAAGATCATCTAGTTCCAAGCCCTGATGTAGCAGCTCTGTTAGTGGTTGTAACTTTCAGCATGCAAAATTTTGCCCCTTTTTTTTGTTGTTAATGAATTAAAACTGAAGATGTAGTAATTGTAGCATGTGTAATCACATTAATGTTAACGTGGTGTTTTGCATTGTGAGACATGAGCAGAGTTAAAAGCTTGGTTGTTCATTTCCATGTGCATCCCTGCCTCAGAATGTAAGGGAGTAACTAAGGTGAAGTACCAGTTGCTGCTCTGACTGTAAGTCAGCACAGGGGAAGCCAAAATGGACTTTGCCAGGAGATACAAATGTCCACTGGTGTCAGAGGACAGATGCTACTCAAACCCTGCAGCCCTTACTGAGGGTCACAATGAGAGCAAACAGTAGTTGGACAGACCAGAAGCTCATCCCTGGTAAATCCTTTACCTTTCCTTCTTCAGCTTGTCACTGTCCAACTCATGGACACAGTCATCATCGGATTCTCCATCTCATGATGGTTCTTTGAAGCTGGCCTAAATGTGCTTGTGCTGGAAGAATCATACTTCCTTAGGCCCATTTGTGCCTGCCTCTGTGCTGTCCTTGTACCAGCAGGAGAGAAATGCTAGAGAATGGCTAAAAATAACCAGAGATGCAGAAGGGGGTTTTGTCTATTTCAGCATTGAGGACACATTTGTTAAAGTACAGATGCATTGATGTGATATGTCAGAGTTGATCTGTTGCTGAAGGCAAAAGGCCCTGCTCCTGTCTGTCCTTGAGGGGTTCTAGGTGCCTGTCTGATGGCATGGGAGCTTGCTTAGAATTGCCAAATACAGCAGAAACTAATCTAGCAAAAACAAAACAAAAAAATAATTTTTAATTTGGTTTCTGAATTGAATTGACTTAATTTTCAGGTGGATAGTCACCAGGACCAGCTCAATGGAGAGGGCAAGTCAGAGCAACAGTAGTAGGATGGCCACTTCTAGCAGCTGTGAGCCATTCCCTTCAGTCTGACTTGAGACATGTCCTTGGCTCTGTTTCTCTCCTGATCATCTTCAAAATTTTCTTCTCACACTTTTTTACCCCACTGTCCTGCTCTGAGTTGTTCTGAGTTCTTGTTACTTGCTCGCTTTCCTGTTGCTCTACCGTTGCTACATCCATTTCCTCACCTCATTGGTTTTAGTTTCCTGACACTCTGAGCTCTCCTCCACTCCTCCTTTGATCTGTATCTTTCTACTTTTCCATAGCTTTCAGGGAATTTCATTCACAGACTTCTCATTAAATCTTGGCCTCCCTCCTTACCCTTTCCTTTCTTTGTACCCAGAATCTATGCTTAGCAATTCCCTTTCCTTCCTCTCTACTCTCTCCTGTGGCTCCCCACCCCACCCTGAGCCATAGCTGTATCCTCACCTGTGCTGATTATTAGTCTCAGTAAGTACCATGACCACATTAATAATTAACCCCCATTCTCCCAAGTCTCTTTCCCCTCCACTTCTTTCACCATGTCCAAGGACTTTTCCTTCCCCAGGCTTTAAATGCCAGTTTCCCCTCATGAACCAGTTTCTGTCTCTATTTTGTTTCTGGATGTCCTGCTTAGGTTGCAGTTCCATGAACAAACAGTTCTTTCAGGGGAGTGCTGGGTTTTACAGTGTTATTTTTATGCCTCAAGTTCCCTGATCCAGTTTATTGCATAGCCCACGCAGACACTTGTGCTGGCATAACGGAGCGGAATTGGGGTAGAAAGCAAAGCATGTGTGTTAACCCTGATGTTGGACAACATGAGTGGTCCCACTGACTCCTTCCTTAAATAGTGTTGTTTTTACTAGTTCTTTCCAACTCACAAAGCTGCTCCCAATTTCTCTCTTCCTCTACAGTATCAGACTCAGCAAACTGCACCTCAGTTTGATCCTTTCACTCCAAGTCCTGTCTCTTAACTGTATTCAGAGTGAAAAAGTTTTGCTTTTGTGGTATCAGGGCACCATGTGGCTGGAGAAAGCTGTTGTGTGGGTTTTGTCTGGTTTTTAAGTGCTTTTTATCCAGTGGTGTTTCTCGTACCAAAGTGGGAGACTTCATAGGAGTCTTTATTCCTATTTATCACTCATCTGTTGTGATGTTGTGTTTTTTTTTTTTCCTTCTTAGTGTTGAAATTGATTTGTATGTCCTAGTCAAAGTCTTTCCCATTAAAACAGAAGACAAAATAAGTGGCGAATCTGTCTGGATTCTTTGTAACAACTAGACTGTCCTTGCTCTGTATCTGGTGCTAGAGATGAGTGAAAGCTTTATGTAGCTCACTTGAAGGACTCAATTTCTGCCTAGCCTTTGTCAGCTAACAATGGAACCATAATCTGTATCAGGTTTTATTTTGCACCAACAAAAAGTTGTTCTTTAACTGAAGATGTAATTTCCTGGTACCTTTCATTTATGTGGTTTTATTGCACCTCATCTTTTCAGCTAACCCTTGACTATTCATAAAGCTAACAATGTCTTTTCCCCACCGAAACATCTTTCTGTCCTGTCAGTCTTAGACTCCATGCTTGCAACATTGAAAGGAGGAATGGTGTCTGTGTTTCAGGGTGCTAAATCATCAGTAGGATCAAATCTTCATTATATCAGGTGGCTTTTCATGCTGTGTGTGTAAACTGGTGCTGGCCCTGAATGCGCTGCCCTGGATCTGAGAAGGCCTCTTCTCTTGTGACCATTGCTGCTCTTTGCTTATTCCAGCTGGCTCTGTGTTGGTTGAGCCTGTGTTGAGCATCTCGTCTGGGGGGCATTTGCTGTTGGGATCAGTGGCTAAGCTACTTCTGGGCCCGGTGTATGTGGTGCTATATCCAAATAAGTCTATGAAGAGCTGTGCCTGCTGGTGAGGACCGTGCCAGAAACAGCTCAGGCCTGTTAGCAGTGTTAGTGTCTGAATTTTAACTTTGCTGGGATATCCATCCCCCTCCTCATTACTCCAGAGAGTGAAGGGTTGGCTGGACCATGAGATCTCCATCCACCGCTCCGGCCTTCTGACAGCAACGATTCTTTGAAGTCTGAATGCCTAATTCCTCCCTTTTTCAGCAGAGTACTTAAGTGTGTGCCTGCTGTTCACTCTTAGCTGAACTGGGAATAATCTTAACCGTTAAACCATTCCTAAAGCAGGCTGGCAATTAAATGCCACTAATCTGTGGTCTCCCATTTTGTGTATGTACAAATTATGTGATTCTTCACTAGTGAGCTTCAAATGCTTTCTTAAGGTGCTAGGTTCTTTTAAATATGCCAATTTATACCATGTACGTTGTAAATCAGTTGTTAGATAGAACAGGGCTTTCTAGTAATTTTCCAGAAGACACTCATGTAGTAATGGATTAGTAATGTAGTAATTTAATTCAGGGGGGTTTGTTCATTGAAATACAGTGCTGAAGAAAGTAACCTCTAGAAGTCTGTTTAGGTATCTTTAAATGCTAGACAGAGCAACGTTTGACTAAACTTAATTCCAGGTAGATATGTGTTTTGGGAATACCAAGGCAGACCATGTTCATTTGAAATGTTTAATAAGTACCCCAAATAACTCTGGACATTCAGTTGCAGGACCAGCTCTGCCCCCAGGCTATAAAAGCAGCTGTAGCTCAGAAACCCCTGACAGCGATGACGACTCAGAACCTCTTCCTCTACCCAGAGGTGCAAACAGTGATTCTGAAGAGACAGAAGGAGATCCAGCACCCAAGTGAGTATGTTCTTACGTTATTTGTATATTTACATTGTATTGAAAATGAAATGTGTCTGCATAAATTATGAGGAAGGGACGGTATTATATAAGTAAAGAGGTAAAGCCTCTACCTGCGTAAAACTCCATGATGTTCTGCATGTTCTTTGTGGTCAAGAATGTTCAGCTGACCTGTTTGACACCCTACAGTGGATTTAAGTTATTTAGAGCAATCAGCTCTCTGTATTTACATGTTTTATTTTAGTTCTGCAATTAAAGTAATAAAATCCTTAATGTTTTGCTTGTTTATACTAAGGACAGACACCACTTACCGTGTATGTAAGTATTTGGTGCTTGAATTTTGTCCTGTTTCTGGTATACTACCTCTTGTTGAGAGGCCGTAAGAACTATTATGGGCAGAAATTTATGCATTCAATTAAGTCAACTCTAATGATAAAAAGACCCACAAATTGTTTAGAAAATAACAGGATTCTGCACATACTCTGATTTGGTGGGGCTTGATTACTCACAATTGCTGTGTTAGAACTTGTGTGTGTTTGTGCTAGGCCTTATATAAGGGACTTGAAGGTCATTATGCCACCTTAATGAGTGTTAGAATAATTATTACTCTTCTTGTCTTGAACAGTTTTTCAGTTAATTAGAATTTAACTGAGAAAAATACTAGTCAAAATGCAGACAGTGTATAAAAATGGAGAAAGAAGTGTGCTGAATTTAAAGTCGGTTAGTGACTAGAAAATGGTATTTCAGCATTATACTACTCCTCTTTCTACGACAAAAGCATTCTTAATGGGGTTTTTAAATGTCAGAGCATTTTTGGAGTGAAGCTTATGCTCCCAATTTTTTAATTGCTTCAAATTATTTTGGATCCTTTTGTACTGTTTCCTTGGTAACAGCAGGATATTTTGTACATAAGACTGTCTGAAATAATTTTATGGTTTGTTGGTTTTTTGTTTTTTGTTTTTTTTTTCCTTTTTAAAATGTAGATAATTGCTATGCATGTCAAGGTAATTATTAAGTGAAATCTTTGTATTTTCAGAAAGCCAAAAAGAATTCGTGAAGACGATGAAGATGATGATGGCTTTTTTGGGCCTGCTCTTCCTCCTGGATTTAAAAAACAGGATGATTCTCCAGAGAGGTAATTAAAATGGAATTATATTCAGACTCTTTTCCTTAAAACACAATTATTTTAGATAAAATATTTTGTGGCACTATTACAGAACATTTCAATTGTGCACTTCAGATTCAGATGATTAAAATTACTTCCTCCACATTCTGAGAACAGGAACAGCATTCCCTTGAGACAGAACACGTGGCCCTCCTAATCCTGGTTGGAAGGTTGGAGAGAAAGAGAAAAAATGGGCATTGTCTGAGTTACATTCTGAATGTCAAATTTCTTCCATTTCTTATGACAGGTCTGGGATCAGTGCAGCAAAAACAAATTACAGGTTCACGGACCCATAGTTCTGTAGTTCATTCTTGGCTGTGAGGAAGTAGGGCAGTTAGCTTTGCAGTGTTACAATACAACGCAGATTATTGGAATTGTTGTTTGCTAATGCACCAAGGATTATTATTTATATGTCTTCAGGCAGAAAACTAGTCTGAACAGTGTAGGTTTCTAGAAAGTAAACCGTCAGTTCTAAGCAAATAAGCATTATTTATAGCCTCTATCAGGAAGCTTTCCATTTGATTGCATGCAATTTTAAAATATTTCCTGAAAAAAAAAAAACACCTATTTATAGATTTTCTATGCAGAATTTCACCATGTCTCACAGCCTTCTCGTCTTTATATCAATCTGGGTACTTTCTTCTATAATTTGAAATGATAATCCATAGTGAAGTTGGTATTTCCAAGGGGGATGCTTATTGATTAAAGGTACAAGAGAGTCCCTTGATCACTATTATCTCCCTCAGAGCAATAAGGAGCTGATAGGTAAAATAAATCAATACCGACCTGTCAGGTATGAGTTTTTAGTTCTAGAAAAGTGACTCAACTTGTCGAGCTTGTCGAGCTGTAGGTGTAGTAATCCGTCTCAAAGGAAATTTTGAAGCTGAAATTTTTTTTAGTTTAGGTAAATTTTTATGATGCTTGACGGCAGTTAGGAAAACAAGAATATATGTAATTAAGGTTATTTGGAAATATCCTCTTTGTATCTGTTTGGTTACATTTTGCTGTAACAGACAAACTCTTTTGTAATTACAGGTATCTTGATCAGTGGGCTCGTTTGGTGCTTTGATGGTCCCAAGAGTAACTGATATTTTTTTCTTTTTCTTGAGTTTCGTGTGCACAATGTGTCATTTTAATTAGAGAATTTAGGAAGTCACTAAAATAATGTGATCTCTAATAAAGCAAATAAATGCTTGCAGTTTTTAATATCAGCAGAGGTAGCCTTCTTGTTTTCTTGTTTTTTTGGCATGAATTACTCCTGTGGTAAAACGCCATGTCAAAGTGTGCAAAGGAAAAGAGGAAGAAAAGAGGCAACTTGTAGTTTGAAGGTTAGAGAAACGGACAGTAACGCAGGTGGTCACCCATCATAAAATCTTAGTCTTTTGTATGTTCATCCAACTTTTATTTCTACTTAGCAGTTTATTCCCAAGATGCTGGATAATTTATGTTTACATTCAGAGGGCAGGAGTCTGCTCTGTGTCTGTGAGTATGAGAGATTAAAGCAGTAAAAGGCACTTGCTAGTTTGGGATTGTTTTTTTGTTTTTTGTTTTTTTTTTTTTTTTTTGTCCTAGATCACCATACGACTGCTCCTAGCACATACTGAGAAAGCAGATTGAGCAGAGCTGTTTTGCACCCAGCCTGATTCCCCGAATAGGTGGGAAAGGTGTGATGTGTGGGAAGATCCTTGTCTGCCTTCCACCCCCGTACACCTGGCAGTCTGGTTGTGCTGACACGCGGGCGCCTGAGCTGCGCAGGGTGTAGACACAATGCTTCTTAGCTGTCTCCCCACTGTGTTGCCCCGAGTGTTGAGCAGATTGCCAGCTGATGATCATAGCTGTGAATAATTGAAACAAACGCAGGCTGTTTGTTTCAATGTATGGACATACTGTTTATTAGCTCTGTGTGACATACTCGTTCTTTTAGAAGAGCTTTTGTTCTGTTACATCTTTTCCAGACTTGTCAAAGCAACGTATTCATGATTAGGAGCAGCTCATGTGGTAGTTTGCAGCTTGTTAAAAATTGTTTGAATCATTCCAGCATAAAATTTATATACGAACAGATTTCTTTCAACTTTGGAAAGGATATTGCTGTTTATCAATGTTAGACAGAAGTGCAGCATAGATAAATATCCCCGAAGTATTCTTACATCAAGGTAAAGAGCGAAGGTTATTTTTAAAAATTTTGTGTTATACATCAGGACAACAATGAAATGCCCTTCTTGAAACATGCATTAGCAGGTACTGCTGACTCTAACAGGAAAACGTTCTTTGCCGTATATGTAATCCAGTATTCCTTAAATGAGAGCTTAATTCATGATTAGTTTGGGGTGTTTCTTTTTGAACATATATCAGTAGTTACTGAAGTTGCCAACAGCAGCAAAATATGTTTAACAGAGTTTTATTTAGAGTCACTTCACCTGTTCAGAAGGCCTTTGGACATTCAGGAAACGATCAAGAATCCTGCTGGCTGTGTGCTGCTGAGGAAAAGACCTGAGCAACAGGGTTATTCATGTGGGGGGTAAAAAAAAAAAAAAAAAAGGCGTAGAAATGGAAGGCGTGGGAGGGATGAATATAGGAACCATTTTTCTATTCTTTGGAAGAGCCTTTGAGCTGTGACAGAAGCAAGACAGAGTATTCGAGATCTGCTCTTTTTCACAAGTTGCACAGATACAGCCCACAGCATAGATGTTCTTATGTATTTTAGTAGAAAGCTTTTTTTTTATAGCTTGGTGTAACTGTCTCTCTATGCAAAATAAAGGCATTTGTATACTAAAACAAAAGATTATTTTGGCCATATTTGTATAGGTTTAAATTCAATCTCTTTATATTGGGAATTTAAAATACGGTTTTAACAGGAAAGCAGTCAGAAAGAAACAGAGGAAAATAAAAGCTGTTCCCTTTTTGCAGCAGCTAGGTGGGAGTGGAACTTCAAATTTAACCTAGACCTATTGCCTGGGTTTGAAACCTCGCCAGTGCCCTTGCCCTGGCCTGAGCTCACATTTATTGCTTGCCTGTCTATCTGTGGTTGGCTCTATGGCAGGACTTTCTGCTTTTTATTTCCCCTCTTCAAATCCTGACAATAATATCACTACAGCAGGGCTGTACTGATTAGATTATACGGGATTTAGTAGAAGACCATAATTAGCATAATTCAATTCATGTTGTGTTACACTTGATTGTCCTAAAGCTCAGAAACTGAAGATCATCATAAGCAAAGTCTCTGCTGATATATTGTGAGGATACTGTCACTTGGATATTTCTTCAGGTGATAATTGTTTGGGTTTTTAATTAGCTTTTATTAGCTTTAAAAAATATGATGGTGGATTTTTAAGAGGAACTTGTATATAAAAGTCTTGTCAGTACTGCAAGCCCAGTTTGTAGTATGAAAAGAGATTCTCACCTCTCTGTGTTTCTGGAGACAACTGAATTATACTGCTTGCAGAGCTGCTGTGTAAAAACAAATCAGTGAAGTTACCTGGGATCACAAAAATTTTCCTCCCACTCCAAGGGAAAATAAACTTAAAATCAGCGCAGTTCACTGTTTCTGTTTATTGAAGGACAGTGAAACTGTGCTACAAGGCAAGAATTAATAAAATTGGCTTTGTTGCTAGAGAAAGAGTAGCATATATTTGACCTCCCACCTTTCGTTGCTCTTTAATCTGGTGAAGGAAGCTAGGGAAGAAAAAAGTGAATTTCCTTGACTACGTGCTACAACTTTCCCAGTTTTCTTGCATCCCAGCCATCTGCAGAGGTCCTCCTGGAAAACAGAGAAACAGTCCTCCTGGAAGATGGAAGAACTCTTCTTATTTAGTTATTTCTATGATGTGTGCATAGGGGTCACACTTGGCATGTGGAGGAAGGAGAATCATACTTCACATAAGTATGTTATTTTTTTATTTTATATTAATCTGTTACATTTTTTTCCTGCAGCAAAAAGTGAAAGGCTGTCATTTCATGTACTGTGCATGTTAGTTATATTACTTCCTTTTTTTTTTTTTCCTTTCCCCTCCTCAACTGAAAACCGAGATTTTGGGTTTTGTTTTGTTTTGTTTTTCCCTCAAGGCCCATTATAGGTCCTGCATTACCACCTGGCTTTAGGAAACCTTTGCAGGACACCAAGAATAGCAGATGTTCCATAGGACCATCTGTTTCATCAGAACTCCGTACCCAGGTTTGTGAAAATAGAAGCCTTTTGTTTAGTACAAGCTATCTGAAATGCTTAAACAAGTAGGAGCCTGAAAAAAGTATACTAGACATACTTTTCAGCACAATAGTTTAATTTTAGATCAGAAAGTGTGGGGCATATTTTTGTCTGAGTCAAATACTGGAGAATAAATAAGCTTTAACAAAAGAAAAAGGCTGGTCTGGTTTGTTGTGGTTTTGCTGTTAGACAGATGATGCACTCCCTGAACACGAGACATCCAGTCACCTTAAACTGCAGTCACACTAATTCTTCCTAATGTTTTTCCATTCTTTCTTCTGGTGTGACATCCTTCACAAGTGAACATATTGGCAAAGTTAAAATTTTTAAAGGTACTAAAGAAGTAATGCAACCTGACTGAAAAATATTTACCTATTTTTTTAATTTTACTCCTTTGCTGATGGGGGAGCAAAATGATTTAATATTTCACATATCTTTACCTCCTTAAAAATGTTTATTAGTGGATGTGTTAAATGAGTTTATCCAAAAGAATGCAGTAAAGAGTGATGTGAGAGTGTCACTAATTGTTCTTATCAACAGCAAGATGATACCGGTAACTAAGAGTAAGGTGGAGCAGGACAGTGACACTAATGCAATTTTTTTGGTTTGTGTTTTCTGACTGTTATCGGGTTAGGTAAAAGCTAGGTAGAAGTCCTAGTCTAATCCCTAGCCGCAAAATAATGCATGTACTACTAAAGAACATTCGGGAATAAGATGTGTGATAAAATACAGCTAGAAGTATGGGGAAGATTCAGCTCCCTAAACATGGGCCTCTCGTACCATTCTGAGGGACCTGAATCATCAACAGTGGGCTGGCAGGCAGGGAGTAGCACCTAGAGCAGCTTGCATCCTTCTGGAGCAGCACCTCTTCAGCCAGGCAGGATACTCGAAGACATCAAAAATGGTGCTGGATAGCAGTGTTCAGGCAACTCAATCTCGTGCTATGATAAACTCAATATTAATTCCTTGTGAAAATTAACAGTTATTCTGTTTATTTTTAAAATTTTATTTTTAACTCCCAGATACTATGGGACATGCTTGGAAGGAATGAGGCAAAGGCTGCTCTGGAACTGCACTTTTTAGATAAGTAGTTGTGAATTATATCATTTTCCAGCCTCCAACAGCAAGTGTCATAATCCTTCATGAAGAATGATTGTCTGACATTTTTAAGATACTCATCATATTATAACTCCAAATAACGATTAAGCAATTTATCATAATGACAGATCTCTTGAGGCAGGGATGTCAAAACTGGTTTGCTTGTATATTTTACAAATAAAAAAGTCTCTTTTCTCCTAAATAGATCTTCTAGCATCAGCCTTGTTACAGCTGGTAGAGAACTTAGCTTATTTTATTTTTTTTCCTCTTCCTAATAATACTCTTTTTTTTTTTTGCCTTTAAATATGACTAATGTTTTTGTTTATTTTGTTTTAATTTACTTAATTATTTTGTATTCTAGTACATCTTTAGAGGTAGCTTGTTCCATGCTATCTCTTCACTTTATATTGATTTCTCCTTCAGACTTGAAGGCTCTGGTTTTTTTAATGTTTGTTTAATTTCATCTGGTTTGAGGCAGGTGGTAATGGAGTGAATTGAACTTAAGACTAATGAGAAAGGAAGTGAGACACTCTTCTTCAATTAAAACTCAGCATGGAATTTGTCTTTCATTCTCAACTACTTTACAATACAATTTATTACGAAAGTCTTGCATCTTTGCTTTTTTTATTTGTTTGTACAAAGAGAGAGGGAAGTGGTTTACTACGTTGGTTTCTCAAGTTGGTTATTCCTTTTCCCCACCAGCTCCTTCTTTAAAAATAAAGAGAGGGAATGCAGTCACCTCACTCTCTAGAAGTTGAAGCAATATTGCAGAAGTAGATAATGAGTAAAAGCTTGATGTAAATGTCTGAGGAAACTGACAAAAGAAATCGGTGTTACCCCATTGCACTGATGGTGTTTATGAACGACCAGCTATTTCTCGCTCTCTTTAGTCTTTCTGATCCATTTCATGCAACTGGTCATACAGCCATTAAATTTGCTAAGCCTCCTCTTGTACCTTGTGGTCCACAGCCATAGGTAGCTGTGTCTCTTGTCACCCGAAGCTTGCCTTCCCTGCTGTTCATGCCTTTGACTCCTGGAGGCACGCAGGGCCAACTGGCTTGGCTAGCTTGGGGCAGTGTCACTAAAGCACGCCAGTTTCTGTAGCAAATGGCACACAGAGGAGTAAAGTGCCTTATTTCACACCTGCTGTATTCCTTAGCTCGAATCCCTCTGCGGCAGTGGGCTGCCAGCCATGAGCAGCCTGAACTATTGCGCTCGAACTCAGCGTTAACAGGATTCCTTTCCTGCCCCACTCGTCCTCCATTCCCTGTGCTCCCATTAGGTGACTCTTCTAGGGAGGTTCTGTGCTTTGTTTTTGTATACTCCACTCACTGGGTCACCTCTGCCTCAGGCACCTTATTTTACCTAGAAAGCTCCTGGTACTGTTTTTCCACTGCTCGTTGCTCTTGAGCCCTTAAATGCTCTGATGGTACACCCCCCACCTTCTTCATCCTTTATTTGAAGCTTCGTTGCCCACCACCTTGTATTCTCAACTAATGCCCTGTGCTTCCCGAGTATACGGCCTTGTCATCATCCTACTCCCATTGCTTTATCACCCACGTTCAGGCTGTAAGCTAAATCTTTTCACTTTTGTAGATACTGGGCACCTTACCTTTGCTTCCAGGGCACCATGGTTTCACCATTTTCCGTCCGGTTCTGCCTCCATCCACGTCTGTACTGTCTTGACTTGGAGGGACCTGTGAGCTTTCTGTAAAACCCCTGGTACCCACAAAGTTTCTTATTAACATCTAGTCCCTTTCAGACCTATTTTTCTTTTGAGCCATTCTCCAAGGAATTGCTTAGAATGCAATGTCCAAAGGGATGGAAGAAGTGAATGACGGAACCAAGGGATTAGACTGGCAGATAATATGCACCCAGGGGTATAGTACTGTGCGTGCAACTGTACCCTAGCTTGCACGTTAATTTTTCTAGCATCCTTTCAGAACCTGAGGTTGAGACAGTTCTCCTTCCAGTGTGAAATTGTGACCCTCACTCCAGATGTGCACCCAAATGTTGCTAGCGATGGCAAAGCCCAGAGTGTCAGGGATGTATGCTTGTGTGTTTCAAATTTACCTGTGGCCACAGAGCCTCTGTGGCTGTGTGCAGAGCAATGTAAAGTAACAGGACTCTGTGTATTGCCACGGTGTGTACCAGCGGCCTTGTCTCGGACAAGAGATGGGGCTGTTGGAAACATGGAGACTAAGTATCCATGTTACAGTGCTAGAACAGATCTAATCCGGAGTTTTAAATCCAGTTTTTGTTGTCTGACTGGCAGATATATTGTGTTTGGTTTTGTCTAGAAGAGCATATAAACCTTTCTATGAAGTGTTTCTTGATGGTCTTAGCCATATGGTTTTATTTTTGGAAGGTAACAGATAGTAGTGAGGAAGAAGACAATCTTATAGGCCCAATGCCTGCAAAAGGACCAGTGGAGTCTGATGTGACTAAAGAATTCGAACGCAGAGCTCAGAGAATGAAGGAAAAACTTACTTCAGCAGACAGCGTAAGTTGGATTTCTTAATTTCTGATATTTTCTTGCTGAAGTGTATGTGTGTTTTTCTTTTCCTCTTTCTGTGTGAACCCAGTTGCAGTTCTGCTCAGAGTGCTAAGTGTTTGCAATTGTCAAGACAGAAGAATCCATGATTTCTGCTAGAAGCTAAGAGATTGAGACAGCAATTGTTGATTATGCTTTTTTTTCCCCTCTTCCTACCCCCCAACTTCTTTTGTAAAGGATGAACCCAAGCAAGTTACCAGGGAATCGTGGATGACAGAGCTTCCACCTGAATTGAAAAGCTTTGGATTTGGCCCAAGAACTTTCAAGAGAAGAGCTGATGACAAATCAGGTGATAGATCTATTTGGACAGATACTCCAGCTGACAGAGAGAGAAAAGCCAAGGTAAGAATTTATTCATTCATATGTACCTGCAGGCAGTATGTATATTGTTGATATTCTGTGAAAACAAGGTAGAGATATCCTGAGCTGTTCAATGACAATTTTTTTCCAGACTTTTCTTTGTTATCAAAATTTATTAATTCAGGCTTAAAGGTGAAGGCAATGAAATTACGGTCTTAAGTACCATTAATATTAATTTATTTCTTCTCCCTTCTGCAGTAGTCAGGTACTCGGTATCAGCTCATTGAATTTCCAATTACAGTGTGTCCAGTTACTTCTTGTATCAAGCTGAGCAAAAAATATCTGGTGGCCTCTATTGTGGCCTCTACCCTTCAGATTTAATTAAAGTAAATATAGATTTCCTTGCCTTTTACTTCAGACATTCTGATTACTATAGTGTGTGATTTGCTCTACTCATCAGGAAAGAGAAGAGGCAAAAAAGTCAACCAGTAAGGATAATGAAGAAATTGTATTATCAGGGAGAGACAAGAGACTTGTTGAGCAGGTGACTTCATACAATGTAAGTGTAATAGCAAAATACTTCCTCTTCCTGCATTTCCTTTAATTCTTCACTCTTTTCTTCTGGTTCTCATTTCTAGCACTGCTGGTTTCCATGGTGACGCCACTGCAGGCTTCCCTTTTTGCGCCCAAACCTGCTGCTGTTTCAGTCATTAGAACATTTGCCATTGACTCCAACAAGAGCAGGATTGGGTCTTCCAACTGCTGCTGAAAGCAACGTGACAGAATTGGGGCTTGTGTATATTGTCTCAGTTTTAGGTGGTGTGTTCCTTAAAACATCCGCACGTCAGGACATGATTGCTGGGAGTAGACAGCCTTAATTCAAATATTGGCTTGCTTCACCAAATTACCGACATCCCAAGATTAAAACAGTAGTAAAGGCTTAACTTTTAGGACAAAATACGTATTAGCCCATTAAGCTTCTTTTGAGTTAAGCAGATCAATGCAGCAATTACACTATGTAATTAATTACATTAACTGCTCATTACAATAGCACTATGACATGAAGTATTCCTCAGTCCCTGCAGAAGCAGATAATTTTCACAGACAGATGTTGATTACTAGAAAACGGAACTCCATGTCAAATTCCCTCTCACTTTTCTGTCTGCCAGCCTTGTCTGCCAGAGTATATGGACTGTTGCCTGCCTTACAGCTGTGCGTTCCAGTTCTTCCCTGATTTATGGCCTGAAGTCTTATGGAAGGCAACCTGGTCTCTTGAGAGTACCATTAACTTGAGAATTGCAGCCTTGGCTTATATTACATGATGGAAGTTTATCTGGCACTTTTAATAATTTATTTGTAGTTCATTAAATCCACATGTCCCTCTTGACTTAGAGGCTTGCAAATCCAGAGCTATTAGCATACTGTCTTAAGTTTCTTCCGCATTGTCTGTTTCTACTCTCATTATGAACACAGTAGAATAATTTCCATGTAAAACTGTGGGATTTGCTACGTACTATTGCCAGAATAAAACCTGTCTAGGCCTTTACTGTTTCTGAGGTTAATGGAGTTCTCTCAAAAAAACCCGAAGAAGCCATCTTCTTTAAGAACAATGTTTCTTGGGTTGTTTTGTTGTCTGTTTTGTTTTTTAAATCAGCTCTTTTCTGATTTTCAGGTGGTGGTTTGGTTTTTTCTTTTAAAGTTTTTTTCCTCTATTCTTTCTTACTTTTTTTTCCGCTGAACTTTGTCAAGGATACTTTCATAGAACAAGAGCTTTAATTCCTAGAATAGTTTCTTACAATTAATTATTTCAATGCTGATGCCAAATACATTCTCTGGTGCGATTCTGCCAACACTGACACAGTTACACCATGAATAAGCATTGTCAGTTTTCTGTTTTCCACGAGAATCATTTCTTATGTCGTGTGTAAATTATTATTTGTATGTGTGATAAAGTAAGTGCACAGTGTGAGGGAAAATGAACCTTTGGAATAAAGGTCTCGTGTTCCCAGACATGGGAAAACAGAGCCACTCATCTTTCGCTCTTTCTGATGAGAGTTGGTTTGGACTGATCTTTTGGCTGGTATGTAATGATTTGAGAGTCTGAGAAATTGAGTACTTAGTGATACACAGATACGCTTTACATGAGTAATGGAGGCACCACATAGTCTTGGGAGCACTAATCCTGCTTCTGTGTGAAATCAGGGAAAGGTTTTTTTTTGTTGCATTTGGGCTGGATCATGCTCTTTAATAAACACAACTAGAGTCCTTGACTTGGCAGAAGACATGCTCTAGCTCAAACCCGTGACTTTGTCCTGTGGGCTTGCAACAAATCATTCAAATACTGAAAAGTTAAGAGCACACATTAAAACCAGAGTAGTGCATGTGAGGAAGATCGAAAAGCATATCCAGCTTGTTCTTGCCCCTAGCAGTGACTAAACACAGATGCTTAGGGGACGTGTGTAAGAAACTGGGCCTGTACTTTGAGGTATTTCTCTTGACATGTTGTCTTCACTTCTCTCAGCTAATAATGGCAGAGCAACTTTTATATTTCTTTTGCATCATTTTTACAATTTATCTCCGCTGTCTGCGGAGATCAACATTATGGGTGTCTTTAACATCAGTGAATTATTAGTGTCTTACTCAGCGTAGACAAGATTACATGTGCTTTCTGCTCTGTGTATGTGAAATTTATCATTCTGTTTTCCAGTTGCTAAGCTGTCATCTTTTTCTGCAATTTTTAGCCTCTCAAATTTCAGTCTTTCATTTGGATTTTCTGTACATTGTTGTTATTCTGTAATACTTCATTTCCTCTTCCTCCTTCCCATTTTTTCAGGAGTCAAAGAGGTCAGAATCTCTCATGGACATACATCAGAGAAAGCTAAAGAGCAAAGCATCTGAGGAAAAGACCAAACCTCAAGAAAGAAGGCCATTTGACCGAGACCAGGATCTCAAAGTCAATAGATTTGACGAAGCACAAAAGAAAGCTCTTATAAGAAAATCCAGAGATCTGAATACTAAATTTGAGCACAGTAAAGGCAATATGTTTTTATAACATAAAAGCATGAAGCTTTTTTGAAGTGAAGTCAATTAAACTTTGAACACTTAATTTTTTAAGTATTTTTCTGTAAATATTTGTATGCAAAATAAATATCCTGATGTTTAACTATTTTCCCTTGTCTGTAAATACTCTGTTAGGGAGGATCATGTGTACTAAAACTAAGCTGGTAAAGGGAAGTCCTGGTATGAAAAATCATAATGTAAATTTACTACTTTAAAACGTTGATTTTGTTGTTGTTAGCATAAAAATAATTAATTAAAATAACTATTATTTTAAGGAGCTCTAGATTTGATCTTGCAATGGAGTTGGCAGTTTCCCGCCTTTCTTGTGCCATGCTTAGGATATTCTTGCTGAGCCTGACCTGAAGGCAATGGTAAAATCCTCTTTAGGCTTGTGGGCAAGACATTGCTTGGCTGAAGTTCCTGCTGGGGTGTATGAACTCAAATGGTAGCTTTTATGTCTGCCCAGTGCTTTTACTTCTATGGTTCTGTGTCTGTACATAAATTCTGGTTTATATGTATGCAGTATAATTTCTGTACTATAGCAGGAAGAGCTAGTGGTAGCAGAAGTGATAAAAACTCAAGATTTGCAGATTTAATTATAAAATGGTAGTATATAAGAAGAGAAAATTTAATTTGAGTTTCAATTTGTAGGGCCTATCATGAGAAAATCCATGGGGGTTTTTTTAAGCAAATTTAATATGAAAATCAAACCAAAATAAAGCTTGTTTTGTCAGTTAATTTGCAGAGCAGGACAGCTCTTCGGTATCAAAAAGGAAATAAATCTGACATTTAAAAAATCTACATCCATGCTTAGCATTCTTTGGCTCTTCAGTGTGTGTGCAGAGCAGCTGGAAGGGAGAGTTGTGTTACTTATTTAAAATTGGACTTGTACTTTCATTCTTTCTCTTGAATAATGTTTGGGTTCTTTTTTGAGGAGTTACTGAAAGTATCTATATATGAAAATAATTTTATATATGAGACGCTGGCAGCTTCTTTGGAAGTGTGAGACATTTTGTGTATTAAATACCATGGGGTTTGCTGGAATTTGAAAAAAAAACTTCAGTCATAGACAGTGTCTGGGTTGGTTCGTGCCAATGGAGCAGGGACCCAACAAGCCTGATAAATGAATGGCTACAAAAGTTTGGTCTTACTTTATTGTACGTGTGTGTGAGCCCAAGGCACAGCTTCCATGTCATGAGAAGTCTTGGAGAATTTTCAGTGTCGCAAAGGAGTGCTTATGTACAATATATTTGGATACTGCGCTTTTTTCAATAGATCATTTATTTTGCCATCTGAAAAATCTGGTACCTTCAGGAGGAAGAGGAACTGGCTTTGTATTACGTTTGGTTTTTTAATTTAATCAGTTTGGGGTTTGAGCCTTTTCATTTTGAGGCGAGAGGAGGGTTTAAACAAGGGTCGTTTGGTTTTCCTCCGTTAGGAATTCTCCTAGTGCCTTGTCCTAATTTGCCTCGGCAAGCCAGGCCCTGCTAGGTTTCTACCTTCCGAGTTGTCTCGTTCCCCGTTTTGGGGAGCTCCTCTGCAGCTGTGGGGGGTTAAATAACATCTCTCTAGCAATTCAGCAAATGTAGATTTCTTAATTGAAAAGGCAGTATTAAGAAAGTTGGGTGTTTTTTTAGCCAACTGAAGCAATGGCAGGGTGAGCCTTACGTGACTAGCTAAATCTTCGCGGTTGACCGTGACCCTCATGCCCACCTTGGGAAGCCCCTGCTGCCTCGAGGAATCGGTTTATTATCGGGGGTTGCCTTGTGCTGACAGAGCTGATCTCAGGAGCGCGTCGCGCAGGCTTCACTCCCTCAGACAGCTCTGTGGCGGGGCCGAGGGCCGCTCGTACTCAGATTTTTTTTTTTGCTGTTGTTGCCGTGTGGTTCGATCTCATTTTTGTCCTCCGGCCCCCCCTCCTCCTCCGAACTGAGGACCGATCACCCGGTGTCGCGGGCGGCCAGGGCTTGCCATCCGGCTGTTTGCTCCCTGCCTTCCCCCGGCCCCATCGCGGCCTCCTGCCCTCTCCAAGGACCCGTTTGAGCGGGAGTTTCGGGGGGGGGGGGAGCCCTTGTGAGGGAGCCCGGGCAGCCTTTTCGCAGTCGTGCGGCTCCACGTTTCACCACGGTGCGTGGGGCGTGCGGTTGGTATTAGTCTAAGCCTTGATGCGAGTTGGGAATATGTTTTCTCTCATCTCCTTAATCTTTTTTTTTTTTTTTTCCCCCTCCGAAGCAGCCTCTCAAAGGCTCAGTGAAATCCGGGTTACGAACTCGAGATAGGGAGAAAGCGGAATTGTCGAGAGTTCACATTAAGCTTTTCATTACTTTGTGTAAATCGAGTGAACTTTTGAATTGCATTAATACACAAACTAATCTCCTCTTACCGATGCCAAACCGTTCCCTCCAACAGTCATTAGAACAAGCAGTAGCTCAGTAAATTACCCGCCCTGTGAGCTTCTGTGGGAAAAGATGAGCCGTCCTCTACAATTTGGACAAGGGCTAAAGCATGTCTGCAAAAATGTTAGTGGGTGATTTTTCAGCATCTCATTTTAAAAAATAGATTTTATTTCACAAAAAAATCCTCAACATAATTACTGTATAATGTGTCTTGTAACCAGCTCCCGACACAGATTTAATGGATTCTATTGCTATCCCGCGCTGCCAGCCTGCGTCGCAGCGTATTGACTCCAGGCATATCAGAAAAATGTTTTGTAAAAAAAGAGTCAGGGAGGTTTTCCTGGATGTGAAAAGCCTATCAGCTTAGATTTTTAAAGCTCTTGCCTTTGTTTTGTGCTGGCATAGACATCCTTTATTAATAATGATGCTAAAAATTTCTGCTCAAGAGCAGGTTCCCCTCCTTCTGAGATGTCAAATAGGTGTGGAATTCATAGTGAAGTCAATAAAAAGAAGACTTTTGCGGTAGGCATATGATAAATTGGATGTTTAAGGGGAATTTTAAGGAATATTGTATGTTAATAGCAAAAAAATAAAAAAAACCCTGTTGAATCTGCTGCTACCAATTGATAGCAATAAAGTCATTTCAAGAAAACTTACCAATTTCTTTGTACGTATCTTTGGGACAAAATATTGAGCTACCATGATGTTGGATCTAAAAAATTTTTTAGAATATTGTATAGCAATACTGTCACCTGAGGAAAATCTCTGTTCTTCTGATTTAAATGCCTATTACAGAGAGCTATTGTTTGCTTCTGCTGTTGCAGTCAGGAGATGCACCATGCATGTTGGCTTTTCTGGATGAAGTACATTTCCCAAATAATAAACAGCAATAGAAATGCATTTTATTTAGGGCTTTGGTGGTGTCATGTTGGTAGCACAGAAGTGGCACTGTTGAAATGGCTTTCTTAAAAGAAACATTGAGATGAAACATTGATACGTTTCTGTCCAGTAGGAAAGATTATTTTTCTGCATAAAATAAGTTTCAAAATGCTCCACAGGGCTCCAGGGATATTCATGCTTGGGGACTTGTTTTGTTTCTGAAACGTAAACTTTGATATTTCTGTCCAGCCAATTATAAATTGTATGTTGATTTAAGAGTAATACAGCATTAAAAATCAGAATCTCTGAAAACTTTCTGTATGTGCCTCCTTAACTCCAGCTGCCCCACTTGCATACAGCACATATAGTTTGTAATAGTTGTGATAACCTAATTCTCAATTTTAAACACATGCATGTGATTTTCTGTCCTTGCGAATGGTATGCAGCATTTTATATGCTGGGGGTAAAAAAAAAAAAAAAAAAAGTAAGTTATGTGGTGTTTTTCAGCCAGCAGCTTTAGATTTTTCTCACGTGCTCACTAATGAAGACGGTGTCTTGTTACCTGAAGCCAGTGAGGAGCAAAAGTGTGGGCCCCAGTTGTGCTCCTGTGAAATGCATCTTCCTGATGCTTCTAGTTCTGGCAGCCACATGGGAAGTGGTGATGCTCAGCAGTAACTCACCCAGGTGTGGCATTTCGGTTCTTTTCAAGTGTGATGTGAAGGCTGAGGTACTACCCACGCGGAGCTGATCTTTTCACAGCGGCCACTTCTGGGTCCTCCCACAGTTACTATCCTCGCAACAGGCAAAAGCCCTTTCTCTGTCATCCCGTCATCTCTCCATGTGATTCCGGTCATCTGTTTTCTTCCACTGGTCTTTCAACCAGTAATAAATCCCATTGCTCTTTGAAATTATACCCATTTTGAATCAACGTGGCAAGGAATGCCTTATTTGAAAAAAAAAAAAAAAAAAAAAAAGTCTTTCTCGTAGAGTGGGAACCTAAGGTCTCTAAGAGACAGCAGCACAGGCTGTCACTTCAGCAGGAGCAGCTGCAGCTGTGACTTCTTCCAAATAAGCAATCCCAAGATAAATATTCAAAAGCAATTATCATAAGTAGACTTTAGAGGGAGGGGAGAAAAAAAAAAAAAAAGTGTCTGGCCCAGGCTCTCAGCTGCTTAGCATTGCAATCGCTCGCTTCACTTCACAGGATTGTAGCCACTCGTGCTTGCACATCCACACTTGACCAGGAGTTTGACGACTTCCCGCCCTCTTCTCTCTGTCTTTTCCTGACTGTGTCTCTCTCGAGGAGCCTTGCTCCCTGTGTTTGCCAGTACCTGAGCTGCTACAAAACACTTGATGTACATCAACAAATACCTTTTGCTACACCTGAAGTTGTGTGAGCCCTGGAAGAGCTACTGCAGCTCTCCCCGTCGGTCCTCCTGCTGGCCTGGCTCTAAGAACCAGCCAGCTGCAGAGTTTTGCAGCTACTCCTTTACGTTCCCTAGGATCCACCCTTGGATCTTGCTGGCCAGCGTGGGGTTGCCACCCGTCACCAGCTTTGGGTCAGGAAGGAATTTCCCTGAGCCCAGCCACGATGGGGAGAGGACAAGTGTTGAGTTACTACACTGGCCTTGACGCACGGAAGAGAAGACCCTTTGCCTCCCGGAGCTCGATAGCAGGGTTTATGGTAGAGCAGCAGAGCTGTGACACCACCCTGAACCCAGCAGCCACCCTGGTTCAGTCCCTCAAGCCAGACTTCGGTTCAAACACAAGAAATCTTGGAGCAGGAGATCCCTGCAGGTACACGTCTGCCTTCCCTAGCCTGGCCAGCGGCCCCATTGCTCAGCAGGACCCATCCCTGCGTTAGCCATGTCCCTCCCTCAAGGAATCTCTTGAAGACACCTCTCCTCTTTGGTATCTGGCCAGGTGGCCCAGGGGGGCTACCTGCAGTCGTGCACTGCTGGCCTGGACCCGGCCTGGCTGCTTGGCTCAGATCCTCGTGGGCATTTCCACCCCCTGACACCTGCCATCCCCTCGAGGAGGGGTGCAGTCAGGCCGCCAGCATCCAACACGTTACCGCACGTAGGTTGACCTAAGTCCACCGCGACTTCTTCTTATTAATTTTTTAAGCATCTCAGAAGAAGCAGTCTCCAAAATGAGCGCTCTGAAACTGGCTTGGTGCATGTTACAGAGCCACGTTGGCTTGGGGTTTGGGGCTCGGGAGGGAACTAAAAGCCCTGTGAAGACACCTGGGTTGTCTCCCTGGCCTGGATGCGGGGAACCGCCCAAGCTCACGTGTCCACCCAGCCGATGCCAATCCCCAGTCATCCCCTCCCTCCCTGCAGCACATTAGCACTGGGGATGGGAGGACTTCCCTGGGGGGACCTGGGTCCCCCCCTACCAAAATCACCCCAGAAGTGTCCCCGCCGTTGGTCCCAGGGAGGTCCCACGTTGCTGCCTTGAATTGCCACAGCGTGAGCTGCCCCACAGAGACAACCTCCTTCTCCTCCTAATAGTATTGGGAGATGCTGAAGACACAAACATGTAGTACCATAAACTCTGCCCTCAAAGGAACTTCTGGTGTGGCTCCTCGTTCTTGTCCGTGTTGGTTATAGATAAATCAGGAAACTGCACTGTTAAAACCTCAGTGGCTGTGCATGTGGTTAGGACACTGGATTTCAATCCCATTAGATGCATCTCTGTGTGACTTTCATTCCCATCACCGGCAACATACATACTTTAATTAATGTTTTCCAGAGGTCACCTCCCCTGGAAGAGGCAAATAACCCAAAAGAGCAGGAGGGGCACAAGTGTGAAGGAGCAAACAGGCCAAGATGCCATCGCCTGTGAGACGTCAAGGTGATCTGCTAACAGAGGAAAGGGAGACAGACTTCCAGGTTGCCTAAGAGCAACCAAGATTAATGCAGCAGTTTGTGCTCTGCTGCGCTCTAACCCTCAGGTGCCAAACTCTCTCCTGATTTTTATCCTCTAACAGAGAGCAAGGTCCCAGGAAGAGCCATCCCCAGGAATCGCGGTGTGAAAGGGATGGAGGGGCACACGTACAGGGGAGCAAAGACACCAAGATGCAGCTGGTGGTTGCAGTTCCTGGGGCCCTCCACCATCGCTGCTTTAGTCATGAGTAGATCAAGATTGTGGTTGTTGCCGAGATGAAATTTCTTTCCACCTGCTACAGATTCTGGAGACCCTGTGATTATATGTATAGAACTCAGTTTTCCTTTTAGAAAGTGCTGTGTTCATAGTCCTCAGGGTGGTTGGGCATGGCTGAGCTCAGCACTGCCATTCATCATTCAGAAGGGGACTTCTACCGTATCATTTTAAGGAGCTAAATATAAGTTTGGGAGTGGGGTCTCCAGGACCCCAATAGAGGCTGGCGTCGGAAAAGGAGCCAGACCCCGTGTAAGAAACAGTTTTCATAGGGGAGGACTGCGGGTGGTGTTTCCCCTCCTGGCTCTCCCATACCCCACGCGAGCCAGTCCTGTGGTTTTGAGTCGTGTTTCTTGTCATCTTCCTATTCTGCCTGCCTTTCCCCTCCTCCCATGAGGGAGTTGTGGATGACACGCTGGCTTCACGGGCCCTTCAGGCAGGCACGGCTGACAAGAAGGACCCAACGGGGTCAGAGGAGTCAGCCAGAGGCCAAGCCACGGGAGCACGAGCCGTTCCCTTCCCGCTGCCTGTTGCAGCAGTGGGCAGGCTGTTCCCCCCCCTCAGCAGCAGCCGCCAAGGGCCATGGGGACTGGGTCCAACCCACATCACCCAGGCTGATCCGACCACGATAAATGCGGGAGGCCTGGCGAACGTTTACACCGAGGCCACGGAAGACTAACAATCCTTTCCACTGTTCGGTTTGTTGGTTTGTTTGTTTTTCTCTTTGGCTGCTTTGTACCTCTCCTGTCAGGGCAATGAAGGTTTGGCCTTGCCTGGAGGGACGTCTGCGCAGTGTGAAAGCGAGCAAGCCCACCTCCCGCTTCAGTCTCCTGGCGCAGTGCCCCTCAGCATCTGATGCCCCCAGAGCACCAGGAGATGGTAAGGCAAAGCGGTCGGTTCCCATCCGGGCAGAAAAGGCACGATGAAAAAACAGCAACTTCAGAAAAAAAGGAGACCGGCCGGCTGCTGGCATGCACAAAGCCCGTAGGCTGCGGGGAAGCTGTCTAGAAATCATCAAGGGCTTGCTGCGGTTTCCAAGGTAACTTCCATCTTCTGCGACCCAGGTGAGGCTCAGCCTTCGTGAGCACGTGGGCAGAATACAAATAGCGGCTCTGAGGTGGAAGATGAAAATGCACACGAAATGCCATGTGTCGCCCCAGCTGCTCTGCTAGCGGCTGCTCGCCTTCCTTCCACACCTGCCCACAGAGGTAAAGTGCCAGGAACGAGGAATTTGGCCACCGTGACAGAACCATCACGAGTCACTTGCTGCCAGAGGGAAGCCAGGTAATTCAGAATTACTGTAGGTGGCTTTCCAGCTGGGGTCATGGCTCGAAAGCCCTGGGACCCCACTAACGTGCAGCTCCACCGTGCCCACGCCACATGTCTCTGACCTTCCCTGCCTGTTCACCTGAGAGCATCCACGAGTCCACCGGCTGGCATCAGCACCAGCTGGGCTCAGCCGTTGCCTCAAGGCTGTCCTGGGGTCTTCTGGGGAAAGGCTTCCCAAAATTCGTCTCTGTGGCAACCATGGGAGAGCTGGGCTGGAGAGCCAGGTAGCTATTCACACGTGGGGTTACACAGGTCAGGTGCTGTTCAGCCCTGGACTGCCTGCTACAAAAGCCACCAGGTCTTAATTGCCTCTTCAAAATCAGCATGAGAGAGGAAAACAAGAGCAGTGAAAGGATGCGCTCACATTCACGTACTGAATGCAGGACTTTAATCCTTTGATGTACGCATTATTCTCCACAAAAAGAAAGTTTCCAAGAGCAGAGGAACCGAGGCTGCCACCAAAGGCTTCCCACGGTTTTTCCTATCGCTATCATGCTGTGCAAGGGAAGGGAGCCCACCCCAAAAATGCCAGCTTCCTGCAGAGCTCACGGACACGTGCCAAGGCTGTGAAACTGCTGCTGCCCCTGGTCCAGCATCTTCCCCCCCTTACCATCTTCATGGCCAGGCGTTGGTTGGGAGAGGGATGCAGGTGCCAGGTTAAACCTGTTAGGGCAGAAGCTAGCACAAGACCACCACTGCAGTGCTGAGGGTTATGGGCGATGCTCTTGAGGAGGTTTCTGCGCCGCACTGATGCTCTGGGAGGAACCAGTGCATGGCCAGAAATCAGAAGGGGACGTGGCAATGACACCTGCTGCAAACATTGT